CTCTTTTATCGATAAACTTCAGTTTTTGAGACGCAGGTCTGCAGAAACGGTGCATAACATAAGATGGAGGCTGCATTCACATAGCTGCACATCACGTGTCTCCTCGTGAAATTAGAGCATTTTTCTGTCTCAGCATCGTTGCAGCATTGGGAGGTCATTGTTAGTGTATCTGGCAGTCCTGAGCAGCTTTTCTCTGCTCACCTGCCTCCTCCTCCTGCCTCTCAAGGCCAGCAGGATGGATGAGTCATTCCAACGAAAAAGCCTTTTAAACCTTGCGTTTGCAATATGTCTGTCTAACTCTCTGTTTGTCGACAGGATGTCAGTATGCATGTCTCAGTGCGTGCTGTCTCCTTGTCTACTTACTGTACTGTTTCTTACACCCTGTCTGTCTGCGTTTCTTTTTTTAAATATCTGCTTGTTTATGTTCCCGCCAGTTTTCGTCCTGTTCTACTAATTACTTGACTCCTTGTCTGCGTGCCTGTCAGTGGATCCACATGCTTCTCCTCGAGCTTAGTCAACAGCTTGACTCAACACCCATAACAACCCAACGCACCGTCTTCACACTTTTTAATTCTCTCATGCCGTTCTCCCACCTGAGTGTGCTCTGACATGCATACTAGACGGGATAATAAACGCTTTTTCATCCACTTTTAGAGTGAAATATAGATTATACAGGCACTGAATTAGATTTAGAAAGTGTGTTTAGCTCTCTTAGATTCATTTGTAATATCGCAACAAATGAGAGTTTACAATCAGTCACAAAATGTGGAAGTTAATCTGATGCTTTCATACCTAACATAGTATTTTATAGCCATGAACATCACAATTTTTACCAAAATGGGTGTGTGATGCACGTTTTTGTGCGTATGTGTCTAGAGCAAGGTGTCCCTTCCAGTTTAGTACTCTGACTCTGAGGCTAATGTAGCTTATTGGCTAATGCAACGGCTACCCTGACAGAAGCAGACATAGGCAAGCCCACACTAAAATCACAATCACACAATAGCTGCAGTGCAGAGACGCAAGCGCAGCTCTTAGTTTAAGACTTGACTGATTTAAAGCAATAGGAAAACAACATACGTTGAGTCATTCGAGAGATGCTGCAGGAAGTTTAACTTGATGAGACTTGAGATTTTAGAATAGTTTACCTCGAAAATCGAATCTTTATATGGGATTGCAGTGTTCAATTTAGTTTCTGGTTTCTCAGAGATAACCAACTGCTGCTTTGTTCATCAATGGATCTATAAGGACAGAATTAACCACCAAACACAGATGGACATGCTGCAATATAGGACATCTAAAGGTCTTATTTGAGTTTCGTGGATGACAGATGGCCTAGACAGCCTAGGTTTTAAGTATTTCTTTAAAAGCTTTGTAATCAGAGGAGTGCAATATAAGTTATTTTTCTCTGGCTTGGAATGAGCTCTTGTGGACTTGTGCTCAATTTAATAATGGGAGAAAGGTATTCTGTAATTGCTGTGTTTCAAAGTGGACCTTTTTATTAAAGCCAGCCTCTTTCTGTAGGTTGAAGGGTGGACCTCACTGAGTTATACAAATAACACAGTGCTGCTTTGGGTGGTGTTCCTCCTGTTGTGAGTTTGTTTTCACTTCTTGGGACCTTTTCTAAAGTTAGCTTCCAACTCCTCCAAGATTACCCTGAAGTCTTTTAAGAGACCACATACACATTATTTTGGCTAGAAAAATAACCTTTTTTCCTTCCAGAGCAAAACGTTTGAATGTCTAGCTCTGGTCAGTGTGTTGCTCTTCAGTTGTCATGTATTTATCTCTTTTGTTTAGGTTTGGCAGTGTCCTGTCTTGTTTTGCTTCATGTCCTTTGGCTTGTCCGAGAATCACATTACTGTGTCTTGAGAAGAGACCACTAATTATGTTAGCACTTGTGCTAGCATCCCTCGGAACGGAAGCCATTAAGTCATTAAACAGTGTGTGCCACTCGCTGTGTTCTTTCCTTCTCCGTTAATTAACCCCTGCCATACACATTCGTGTAATCTTTCACATCGTCATCCACACAGATTTGGGTCCTGCTGTACTTTACACATGGGCTTGTAGTCTATTACATACATGTATTACATTATTTTAATATATAATATATATATGTTATGGGAGAAAAAGAAGACAATGTAAACAAAAGGTAAAAGCCAATACAAATTGTAAATAGTAAAAGTGAAAAGTAAAAAGTGAAATAATAATTCAGGTTTTAATCTCAACTAATGCAGAACGCATACTTTCTGTAGACGGGGCACAGCTGCCATGTGAGCACTGTCCCGTCTGAACAAAATGCTCTTTCATTAGCACATCTATAAAGCTGTCAGCTCTTGCTTGGGGGCAATGCTGGATTTACAGGAGAGGGAAACATGACCTGAAGAAGACAAAAAAAAGAAGAGAGGTTCCGTAGAGGGGCAAGAAATCTAGAAAGCTATTTAATAAAGACTGAAGATCAACCCAAGCCTGAAACAAAATGTCAATGGGAAAAAAATGGAATTTATTTTTGCTTCTGACAAATTACTAAAAATAGGCAATGAGTTGTGAAAAAGAATACGCTGCCACTGCGCAAGTTGCTTTAATGGATGGATAATCTGGAAGAACCAGATACCAGGTGGCACCAACAAGGAAAAGTTTGCGCTTCTGACTGGCATCACAATAAATAACTGAAGTGATGAAACTTCGTTCGCTTTGCAGAACAGCTGTTGAAGGAACAATTAAAGCTCCCGTCCCATAGGCCGAGAAAGCACACTGTGTCCTCACGCTGCGACTTCCATCAGATGCCTCACCACGATCAGTCAAGCCACATAATGAAAGAACAAACCTTTCGTCTGGCTTCACAGAAATGGAACCTTCAGTACTTTGGGGATAAAACTTGATCTCAGTTATCAGGAGGAGGTGTCTGCACGTGAGCACAAGTGTGCACATTAATTTGTGTCTGTAAAATCTAACAGAATGACCAAACAACACATACTTTTACTCACAAGCACCCAGTTCAAGCACCCTCGCCACACGTGTAGTGTTCTTAAAAAGATACTGAAAACAAGTATTGCTCCTTGTTTTGCATTGCCTTGCTTAAGGCCACATTTGCTCTTCATTTTATTATTGATATTTGAAAGTGTTGCACTGACATATCACAATAGGAAATTGTGTTAACCTAAAGATAAAACGTAGAGAGTGATCCAGAATCTTGAAACATGACCTCGGGCAATTTGCAAACTGAATTGAAACTGAATTGATTGTTTCTGATCATGAATAAATCTGAAGGGGGCATTTGGCCGTCAAGATTTTCTCACAAAAAAAAGAACAGCTTCTTATAAAGCAAGTGTTTTCCACCCTCAATTACACACACAAGGAAACCATGTTTTTATACATCTCACATATATGTTTATTTAATTTTACCCACCGTCTATGGGTAGTGACTGATGGCTTTTATAGAAACACTTGCTGATCGCCTATAGTGTCCTTGAATATTCATCAAGCTCTGTTTCTCGAGGTGTTTGCATGTCTCTGCATGCTTTTAAAATAGCTGCAGGGACATGCGAGTCTACCTTATACGGCCAATCCTTTGTATTTGTGAATATTTAATCATTCTGTGTATATGTTTGTATGTATGCGAGTGCTTTTCCTCTGAAGTTGGACTTCTATTTGAGCTGTGACAATAGCCGTCTACAGGATGCACGATGGAATAAGTGAGCGGGATCAATGAGACGATGGTTCCGTGTGAGACTCCTCATGGCCAGCAGGCCACTCTGGATCAATTTGCCACTTTATCTGCAGCCGTGCTGATCCAAATATTAAAGTAGTAAAGAGAATTCATCAGTTGGTACAAGTGATGACATTTGTCTTTAATTAATTCATGAGTGAAGTCAGTGGTGTTGAATTTGAGTACCAGACAGATTAGGAACAGGATCATGATACCTTGTGTGCTAGCAAGATGTAGCATCAGGTTCCTGCTCTGAGGCTCAGTGTGTCCCTGCATGTGGTATGAGGAAGAGATCGGTCATGAGATGATGTGGCGAGTTCATGACCAGACGAGGAAGAATGAGAGTCGAGGAATTATCAGAAAAGAAATGGAGGGGGACAACTGGGCTTTCATATGGGGTAAGAACAAGCCGGGAGCATTTGGGTTGTTTGTTTGGGATAATTGTACAGAACGATTGATCAAATGAAACATACTAGATCTCTATCAAAGCTGGAATTAGGTCTTTAGGAGAAGTGTATCATATCAAACGGTACTATAGTGCCATCCTGTAGTTCAATACAATGGCATTGGAGTTGATTTTTTTACAAACCATTTGCTTGTAAACCACTGTTGTCGATGCCGTCTGGAGTTACACCCTGATAGAGCTGCGGAACTTGAGCTTGAGTTGTTGTTGTTGAATAAGACAATTTGGTAAGCAAGGACACACAAACCATATCTGCAAATCTGTGCTGAACACTACACAGTTTGTTGACTTAAGGCTAAAACACACTTACTTGTTGCTTTAACAACACAGTCATCATTTGTATTGTTGGTCAGTGAGCAGCTCCAATAGAGCAGCTGTTGATCCGTTGCCTTGGTGAGACTTGTTGAATGGGTACATAAGAGATCTCCCACGCTTTCTGTACCATTATTTATTGAAGTTTTGTATATTATCAGCCGTGTGACCTATAACGGGTTCCTCATCGGCTCACTTCAGCTATTCTTGTCAAATTCTATGCTCATTGATTTTCACAGCGCTAATGATTTTTTCATTCCAAAAAGACGCCTTGAGGATTGCAAGGCTGTCTGTCTGTTTGCGATGACCATGAACACATTTTCAGATTGGAAAGACGGTGTGTGCCTTCACGCGATGCAGCCAGTCACTCAATAATACATAAAAACATTGTCTTTAATCTCCCGGATGATAGATGCAGCACAGCTGACCCCATCTGCCCTTTAACCCACCCACAGACACCGCCTTTTAGTTATCCCTTTGGTGTCTCTTTGTGCAATGATTCCCCCTTTTTCTTTTCCTCAGGATTGAAAAAACGTACCAGGAAGGCCTTTGGGATACGGAAGAAAGAGAAAGACAATGACTCAACGTAAGTCCTCGTCCCTTTTCCTGGTGTCTGGAAAAATCCAAACAGAAACATCTAAATTAAAAATGTATTTTCAGGAGAAAAATAATGTATATATGGTGGAAAGTGTTGCTGGTAGAGCAGCATGAGAAAAAGTATTAAGTACAAGTCTAGTCAAATAACAGTGGATCAGAGCTGATTCCATACATACGTACACACAACGAGCATATAATATCCAGTGCTTGTGACATTGCTTGTTTGCACACAGCCAATGTTATTTCTGTTAAATCATGGCAGAAATGTTCTGAAAATATGCAAATACAGCAGGATCAAAATAAGACTTAATTGATCAGTTAGATCACTTATCAAGTACTTGGTCGGCTTGCAGATTCTCTGTGATGGTGATAGTTTTCCAGGGATGTTTAGTCAATTTGTAAGTGTGCATGAGACGCTTTCTTTGTGTGCTGTGACATATGAGTGAATGAATGTGTGGGTATGCTAGCGTGCCGTGAAAAGGTTTCTCCTGAATACCCCCTTTTTAAATATTTTGGCTTGAATAATTAGCAAAGCACTTGATTTGAAATGAAGAGCTCACACGTTAAGTGAATTTCATGCTGTCCTTTCTTCTCTCTGCTTCTTTAAATCCTCACAGGGGGTCCCCAGACAGAGACAGCGGTGTAAGTAACCGAAGATATTCAATAACAGCCAATTATTTCATTTGTAAATTACTATTCACTCTACATGTGTGTAACTAGAGGAAATCAAGACTGGTGATTTTGAGTTCATTATTTATTTCCTGTGTTCTTTTTACTTGCCAGGAACCCCAAGAGGTTGAATCGGTACTGACCTCTAATCCCTAGTCCTTTTTAGATTAGTCTCTAGAATAGTTAGTATATAGTCGAGAGCTTAGACTGCTTATAGACATCACACTACGTTCTTCAACTCATCAGTCAGCCTCCAGTGTTGCTGTTTCAGCTATAGGAGGATATATAGGAGGCTTTGAGGGGGGAAGGGGCAACAGGATATCCCCCTTAGTCCTTTTGGAGAAGCTTGAAGAGATTTAAATCTTGAAATATTATCCAGCACTGTTGGACGATTAGCAGCATGTTGGGATAATAACAATGATCATCATCATTATCCAATTATTCGTGACCAAGCGGAGAAAACAGAGAACAAATAAGGGCCTGTGAGAGGAAAATAGGGATTTGTGTGACGGTAGCTAACATAGAAACACATCCAGTGGTAGAGCAGGATATACTGTACCTTCACTGTCTGATGGGATTTTAATCAAAGTGTCTCTCTCCTCTCAGTCTCAGAAGAAGACCAACGGGGCCCCTAATGGCTTCTACGGAGATATCGACTGGGACAGATATGTGAGTGATGGGATTATTATTTTATGTTGATTTTTAAACAGTGATTCAGCTTTGTCACCCTGTTTTCATCTGCATTGAATGAGTGTATATTGATCCATTTCATTGAAAAATGTGTGTGCTATTGGCACATTTGTGATCATTTTTGTCTGTGAGCATTTTATTTACAACTAATATCACAGTCGTGTGTTACTGATGACATCAGACAAACATTTAAAGATATTCACACACAGTCACTATTTGTGTTCCAGAACTCTCCTGAGGTGGATGATGAAGGCTACAGCCTCAGACCTGAGGAGGAGTCCGAAGAGGGAGATATCCTCTGCACTGATTGATTTGTCATTTGACAGGATTCATGTCTTGTTTTTCTCTGCTAAGTTACCTCGGCTCACCAAAACACGGATTGCTTCCAAATCCAGTAAAGGATTTGTTAAATTGGTGCACACTGAAAGGAGATCAGTTTGTATGTGATGTCATTCTCAGGGGAATGTATTTAATCCCCTCTCAAATTCAGCTGAGTCTGCCAAATCAGTGCAAAAAAAAAATCTATATAATCAAATATCCCTGTTTCTAACTTGATTCTGTTGCTAGGCGTGCACCACATTTTAAGTTTTGCAAATCCTGGACAACATTGATTTAAGGTTGGAAACCTTGACGCTGCACTACCGCCTACCATCAAAAAGCCCCACTTCTTTTCCTCGGATGAGTCGGAAGGAGAGGAGGACCACAGGAAAAAATTCAAAGTCAAGATCAAGCCACTGAAGTCCGATCGCGTAGCGTCTGTGCCCTCGGTCGACGAGCTCAAAGCCTCCATAGGCAACATAGCCCTGTCCCCGTCTCCTATGGTGAGTAGCTCTGACGTCACTGCCCTCCCGTTGCTGGCTTTCATTAGCAGATGGCTGTCTATTGGTGGTTAGATGGTTATGATGTGCACGTGTGAATCACTCCTGCTGCTTATCGTCGTCCTCTTCAATTGCCTTGGCTTTCAACATATAGAGAGATTTAGTGAGATATTTCTGTGCACAGATATGGCCGTGCACATGTGTTGTTGCTGCATGATGTTGTGTGTGCTGCTATCTTTTTCTACAATATTTCTCCTGCTTTATATCACTGTTTTGTTTTAGCTTAGGACGGGAACTCTTAATGGGTCATTACTTCCGTTTTATTTAGATATTTTTGGAAATGAAACTTTTATTGTGTTTGTTTTAATGAGCCAGTCTGCAACAGCACCTGATATCTCTAGTTTGAACCCTACACCGAACCCGCAATCCACATCTCTGTAATGAGCGAGGTCAGCTAATGTATATGATAGTTTGAATTAGTTCATTTATGAAGCTTGCGATAATGTCAGTGACCTCAGCGTTATCCCATTTGGTCCGGTGTTGTTTAACACTAGGCGGCCGCTCCGCCACGACAGGAACCACAGAGCAGCCAGCTAGGTGTGAAGTTCTTGTTTGAGGTGAAGCAGCTCATTGAGTCCAAATTCAAGCACACATTCCCTTCACACAGCCTGCACTCAACAAAAGGGACTCCAAAACAGGCCTCCCCAGCCTACCCATAATTCCTTTCTTCTTCAGTGAGGACAGTTGGCTTGAGTGTCCGTTGTGAATAATTCAGATAGGAAAGTGGGCACGATGCACCTGTGTGTCGATGTGCTGTCCAGTGAGATTGCTTGTGGTCATTTGAGCTTCTGGATTTAATAATTTAATCCAGCCTCCGTGTGTTTACCCACTGGCTCTGTTAACCTGATCAGGTGTTGATAATGGTTAGATAGATAATGGTTGTGTTCATGTGTGTAGTAGATGGGAGACATTGGTTGCTTTTTGTTCCTCACAATAGATAGAGATAATGTGCGATCAACAGAAAATGTTTCACCAGTTCTTCCTGGCATTTTATCGAGTTAAGGATTAGTCAGAAAAATAATCAACAGATCAATTGATAATGAAAACGTATAGTTACAGCCCTGTTAATATGACCGATTTAGTTTTAGGGCTGTTATGCACTGTAGTTACGTAATCCTGGTGTGTTTTTTCTAAGCCCAGGACAAGCTGAAACAACCTGAAATAAGTTTCACTTAACATCTTGAAATTCATGTAATGCAGTTAAGTCAACTCAATGTTAACCAAAAATCCTGACATTGTAATTTCTGGCCTGTACTTGTTATTACGCAACTGCCACCTTCACCTCTACCAGTTCAAATTAGCATCACGTTTGCCGAGGCAGAGCTTTTCCCTCTCAAATAAATTACACGAGTAACACAGTCGCTCCCAGTCCCTGGCAACTCTGGGTAACCTTGGCTATGGACTGACAATAACATGGTCTGATGAAAAGAGAAAGAGGGGCCAAATGTTAGCAGGCCTCCAAAAGCAAACACTGCTTCTTTCCCCTTCTTTCCAGTTCTTCCTTTTCCTTTTCCGACTCACACATCCATTTGAATAATCATTGAGATTCCCTCGACTAATACCTGAGACTCTACATGTTAATGCTCTTGCTCTTCATGCTGGTTTTCCACATATTAATACGGCCAGCTCTTACCCCAGCTTTGTAAAAACCTGAAACACATACCAAGTTTCATACATAGATACTTGGTTTTGAACTTAGCGGCCTGCATGAGCTTAATTTACGTGTTACTATTTGGCACATTCTGCATGAATTATGCATCTGTACATCAGCTTGTGAGAGGAACACAATGATGGAGGTTCAGAGCTTATTTCACATAAAACCATATCATATCATGTTAGGAGGAGTAGTGGGTAATGTGTAGGTGTAGGTATGAAGGGAGCCATGGTACTACTCCAGCTTTATCTGTCTGTGTTAGTGGTGACTGCCTACATTGTGCACAGATGCTTTGCTGTGCTTTGCCAGCATTAATACACTCCCCCCCTCTAGTCTTCTAACTATTCCACCCCTCCCTTCTTTTTCTCTTTCTCCTGTCTCTCGTTCTTTTGCTGCCTCTAATGATGCTAACCTCTGTAGAGGAGTCCGGTAAGCCTTAGCTTTGCATGCTGTTGTGTTCATAGGTTTTTTTTCCCCCGACTGTTTGCTCTGTGTTGCTGAGAATAGGCTTTCTAGAAATGGCTAGTGTGTAATAATTATAGGATGTATTATTAGCCCAGCATGTATAGGGCAATGTTATGTGTGAGTGTGTTTCATTGTGGTGTGTATATATATCTTTACGCAGAATACTGTACATGCATGTTTGCCACTGCTCAGCATTTCTGTGGCACATGTTGATTTGTTTGCCTTGGTACTTACTTGGAGTACAACTGCGCTGTCTTTTAAGTTGTTTCCATTGACTAAGACCTCTTGAATCTGATTTTAATTGGTTCTTGAGCTTCTAGTTCTCAGTCCAAATGAACCACTGCAAGCAGTAGAGGAGGCGAGAGAAAGGTCAGAAATGGAGTTAAGATGTTAGAGACTTCAAAAATAAGCGGCATCGCATATCATTCCTCCTTTGTGTTATGTCTACTGGCATTTAAACTAGAAGAGCTTAATTTAGAAGACAAACGTCTTACTTTTATAATGAGTACCTCGTGTGACATTAATGTGTGTCACTGTGCAGTCAGGTCTACACCGAGAGCCCCCTCACTTAACAGCCCAGCTGACTCCCTGTCCAGATAGTATCTGCCTCAGCAACACAACTTTTCATTTCTCTAGCACCAAAAGAAAAGGTTGCAATATTGAATTTCAAAAATGAAACAAAAATCTTGTTCTTCTGATTTTCATTTTACATTTTCTGATTTTAAATACATCACACAATTGTTTTGAGTGGTTCATTTTGAACGTGGGCATTATCTACAACATACACAACTATTTGTGTTACAGACCAGAGCTTTGTCCCTGACGGAGGCTAAAAGGTCACAGTGTGTGGCTGAACTTCCTGTTTACATACAGCAGGGAGACGACGATTGGTTCAGCGTATGACAAACGGTGTTGCGCTGTGTCCCAATGAAATGAATCCCTTCCACCAGCATGTCCCACCCCCTTGTTGCATCACGTTAATCACTCATGGCTCACTGCACAACTGGAACAAGCACCAGAGAGAGGGATGGAGGGGAGATGGAGGGGAGATGGAGGCTTGATGCGAGACGGAGGTGACGAAGGCAGATGGAAGCAAAAATTAAAGAGGCCAAAGGGGGGGGAGACTAGAGGGAAAAATGAAAGGAAACTAATAAGGATATGATGGCAAAAATGATAAAATAAAGAGATGGTATATATAGAGATAAAGATAACGACTAGGGGAGGAAGAGAGGGAAGTGATTTAACCAGCTCCATGTTGGATCACTGATGATGGCATTAACACAAACGCACAGATCAGTATAAGTCCTCCTCGGCTGTGTCCTAATACCCACTTGCCTTTCTATTTTGGAATTATTGAACTATCTGCATTTATGTTCAAAAATCCTTCAACCACACAAGGCTGCACAAGCAATTTCCCACAAAATCTAAGACAGATGAGCACGTCTCCCTGTTATCATTTGATCCCCAAATCTGACCGACCAGTCCACAATTGTTCTTGTCCTCAGGTGTAGGATGTCTGCTTTACTGATTTGTCACTCTCTGACCAGGTGTCTCTTCTCTCTTCCTTTTTGCTGGTCACAGAGACGTAGCCCGGTAAGTGTCCTTGTCTTTCCGGCTTCCTGGGTTCAGGCAAAAAATATGTCGCATGCTTCTTGTACCCTTTTGCTCTTCACCTTGTCCTTGGAGTCGGTTGAATAAGACAGAAAATGCGTAGCTGGGTTCAGTGGCTCAGGCGACGGGTCAAAACTGTTTGCTAATTTGTTTTGACATTAATATTTAAACATATAAATATATAATATTATTTTCCAGATTCTGCAGATCGCTAGTGTGCTTGCTTTTCATCTTGAATGGCTTCATGCTTGGTCTCTGTAGTGGGAGAACATTTGCACTTTTGACAGCTGGACCCTTTGATGTCTTACTTCAGTCACTCCCCATCGTCGTGTGTTCTCATCTCAACTGCTACCGTGTGCTGCCCTCTCTCTCTCCTTCCTTCCCTCTCTCTCTCCTCATCTGCCCTCTTCCTTTCTTGGCCTCTTGTGTCCCTCATATGGTGAATTCATACAAATGCTCACATAGACACGGGTGTCAAAGCTGGAGAGGCAATATTATTCTGCTGTTGCCTCTTCAACAACAAAACTCTTTCCTCTTTTAACTTTCTTACGCTCCAACTTTGTCAAACCTTCTCTAGTACCAGGGCTAGGCTTCTTAAGATCTCAAAAGCATGTTTTGAAAGCTTTCCAATATTGTTTGGGGGGCTTTGACACCTCAAACCACTGCTCAGAGCACAGTTAGGTCAATGAAGGCAGCAGTTGGCATTTTCTAAAGTGACACTAACAATGTTCTTGACTTTTGGAGTTATTTATTGGAGTCTCTTAATTTAAACTGTATCCTAACGATAGATATTTTGCTGTTCCATGTGCACACAGGTCACTGTCTGTGCCATATTTCCCTGTTAAATGACTCACTTACAAAGAAATGCTGTTTACATGGCACTGCAAACAGTATTTCCGTTTGGGGGTTTGTGTCCAGCCTGTGACCTTTGCTGGAACTCATTCCCAATCCCTCTGCCCTCATTTCCTCTCGTGTCTCTTCTATCTGCTGTCTAATGAAGGCAAACCTCTTCTGTACCGCAGTGTTTGTGTGTTCGTAATGCCTACTCCGGTGTAGCTTGTAGCTGGGCAGGCTGGTCCACGGGTCTCCTCAGATTAAGTCAACCTGAGGCTGAAGTTCATCCTCTGACCTTCACTACATCAGTGTTCAGTTTAAACCACTTTGCTGTTTGTGAAAAAGAAAAGGTTGACAGCCATACGTTTACATCTTACGGTTTTCTGTATATTTGCTGCTGTTTTATAGACAAATGTTTAATAGAATTGATGCAACATTTTACTTGTTAGTGACTCTGCTGATTTGTGTTTTTACTGTCATTTCTTTATGTCACAGGGTTTGAAAAGGAACCCATCCAGTGAGTATCCTTCTTGGGCCAGGTTTTGTTTTAATATTTGTGAATGGAATGAGTCTCACATGCTAAACTGATTTAATTATGCTTCCAGGTGAGGAGATTGCCAGACCGAGACGTGTCGTCCCTACTTTACCCGCAGTGGCCCCCACACCAGCTCCAGCGCCACAGCCCCCCAGGTATGCGCCTCACGGTTCCCTGACAAGGGGACAGGCTTAATGTTAAGGTGCTATGTGTATCATACTTTATGTGTCACTGCTGAAACCCTGTCTTTTGACATTGTGCTGCTTATGCTGTATTTTATGTCTTAAAATGCAATCATTTATTGGTGTTAAAATGTTACTTGCAGCTCAATATTAAATCAGAAATTGCATGATAGTTAGTCTAAAGTGTCGTATTTTGAGGTAATCACCTTTTACACTGTGTGGAGTTTTTAAATGTCACCATCAAGCTTCATTTGGGCCTTTTTGAGGGTTTTGTCAGTCCATCAAACAAATGATGCATTCTGTTATGGTCGGATAGGCCTGGCTTTTAAGTCTCATCAATCAGCGGACCAACAACTTTATGCAGCTATTAGTTAAGTAAAAACTGTTATTTCCCATAAATTGCATCACTTTTCACTTTATTTACTTCACTTTATTTTACAGTATTTTTATATTACTCGGATGGTACCGGCATCTAATGCCACCACTTATGTTGTCTTACTGAAACTATCTGCATATGACTCGAGGCTTTCTAACATCTGCTGCAGCTGTCTAGCTTAGTTTCATTGGGCAGGGACCTTAACTGGAGTGTGGAGTTACTTTAGTATAAATTCTATTATAAAAAGCCTCGATATCATGGAAAGAAGGGAACTTCTTTGGTTAATACTCTTGATATAATCAAAGGCCATGATATAAACATGTTATGTTGAGCTTCCAACATAATAGCTGACAAACACAACAGGATTTTGTAAAGATTTTGCCAAACCTTTGCCGTCCCACTGAAACAGAAGTTTGAGACAAACATTGTGTTTATTCTGCTGGAGGGCCACTTGAGGCTTCAGTGAATCTGCAGAGCTGTCAATGTGTTTATCTACTCAACAACACTGTGATGCTTTGTGTGCTTTGGGAACATAAACACATGTTCTTCTAGAATAAATGCTTGTTTTACAAGTTGATAGTTGTATTTATAGTTACCTCTAAGCTGTTGTTATGGTAGGTGTGATTGCTATTTTTTAGTGTCCACATTTATTTTATGTTTGTTCCATCGGGTGTGTCTGTTGTCTGTCCTGTACCATGAGACATTGTACAGATGCACCCTAGTCGGGTAGATGTCACCCTCTGTCATGTTCCTTGTTGCTCTCTTCTGTCAATAAACACATAGCAAAAGTAGGCAAACTTCCATTATCTCCATCTTACCCCAAAACACAAACATAAACAAATTAGGTTTTGTGTAATGAGTCATTGGTTAAACAACTAGTCAGTCTCCTGCATTAGTTGTTTTTGATCTCACTCTCCTATTACTTTACATTACTACTTATGATGTCTTGACCACAGCACAGACTTAATAATTTACATATCTTAACAATTATAAAAAAATAGTTGTCATTTTGATAAATATTGAAGATATTTTTATTTTATTTTATTGGATCTTCATTAGCCTCTGACATAGACGTTGCTAATTCTTCTGTGGTTCATACATTAAAATAATATCCAAATAAAACGATGGTACATTTGTGAAAGCAAAGAAGATATTTAAAGAAAACTGGGTCGTTCTTATGCATACATTAGCACAACCAAATCAATAACAAATTACACCATAAACAAGGCAAAGAGTGTGCCAAACAAGCACGGACAAATGACCATATATAATTGCAATACAGTTACAGTGAAGGATACAGCCATCCATAAAATGAATTGATACTAGATGACGGCAAATAAAAAAAATAATTTAAAAAAAGTGTATGATCAGCCATTTAGTCTGAGTAGTATTGTGTTTTTGCTCCATCTGTATTTGTTTCTCAGAAGTGCAGGCCCTTCTTGAAGTTCTAATACAGTTTGGTAAACCCTGTGCTAAAAGGTTAGTCTTGGTTCAAGGGATGAAATATTGTTTATTCACATACCAAGTCAGATATGTATAAATTAAGATGGGATGAAACAAAGTGACCCTCACTTAAAATGCATTCTACCTGTTGCATGATAGGATGATATATGATGTGAAATGTCCCTGAAATGTCCCTCTGTAACGTCTTCTCTAATATTGACCCTTTTGACTTGCAGCAGTCAACAAACAGTCTCTGAAGACACCACAGACTTATTTGGGCCTCCTTTGGAAACGGCCTTCGGAGAACCGAAAACGGAAGGTAATCCTCCTCCCTGTGTTTCTGTCTCTGTGTATGTCTTTGCGTCTGTTGTTAGAATATGTTTGTGTTAACAGTTGTGACCAGTGTTGTTGTTTTGTCAAACTATGACAGTGACACAATGGAAAAGGCTTTCTGAACAAACACTTATTGTCTCTTTAAGGCTGCCAGCTAAGACGTGCTTGGCTGTCATAGCAGATTCTCTCTCTCTCGCTCTCTCTCTCTTTTTTCTTCTTCTCCCTCCCCCCTCTCACCTATTTCTCTAACATCATTGTTCTTCCCTCAGGCTCACTGTGCAGTTGTGGATTCACTCGATCTGTCTTTGCAAAGGTCAAAGTTGAAATTGATCATGTTCATGTGCACTGTGCAGCTTGTTAATATGTCACCCGCTCTCAGCCAATCCAGTAGGATTCAGTGGTACAGGCTGTGAGAGAGCTCCTAGCTGTTACGCAACTGCCATGTCAGGCATAACTAACATCAACTCGACACAAGTTCCCCTTTATACATTCACTCAGACATATAAAATGGCTCCGTGTGTGACAACTGGTAACTTTTTACCTTGTTACTCATTTTGGTTTTATCTTCACAAGATCATAAAGAGAAAGGGTGTGTAATATAGATGAAACTTTCAGCGTGGTATGTGTCATTTTACTCACAGTTTCAAGTTGGTACAGCTCACTAAAACTAATACAGTCTCATACGACAGCCCTGCAATAAAGCCACTCCTCATGGAAAGTATGCAGTGATCGTTTTTTGATGAAGACAGACATTACCATTTGTATTAGTGATCATACGTATTACAATCAGTTGCCAGCTTATTAGGAACATGCAGGTAAAACGTTTGCAATTTAATACAACGGCTCTGTAATAAGTCCTACCTTCACAAAGGTTATAAAGTTCAGTTTTTGTTGAAACTGTTTCAGAGAGATTTTGATGAACTATATGGTCATTTTGAAGGATGTAGTTTGAAGGTAGCATTTACAGCAGGCCTGTTGTTTTAGACCGCTGAAGCTGTACCTCGGTGTACCAGATAGACTTACACCGAATACTTTTTTAAGACCCGAAGGATCAGAAACCTTCAAATGTTTTGGCTCTAATACACCTGACTTGGCGTGTTCTGTCCCCTCCTGAACTTAGTGGGTCTCTCTGAGTCCGATCCTTGGGGGGCTCCTCTGTCAGAGCCTGAATCCTCTTTGACAAGATCCTTCCCCACAGGAAGTAAGTTTTGGGCATATTGTGCCGCACTTCTTCTTCTCCTTGGAATGACTGCACAGATCCATCAGCTCACCTCATGAACCTCATCAACTGACCTGATCACGTGTGTGGCAATAACGCTCTGCTTCTCATTACAAACAGCCAGCTGTATCCTGTTTCATGTCATCAGCCATTTCACACCCGAATGGTTTAATGTTGGTTGTGGCTTATTTTGGGAGAGTTCAGTACCTGTCTCCCATTCTGCACCAACGCATCCTTCCTCGCATCCTCCTTGCATCTGGAATGGTGGCGACTGAATGTGCTTTGCTGCATGGTGGATGATTTGTGGGACTATCCCTTCTCCTCAAGTTGTTGTTGTTGTTGTTGGGTTTGGCAGGTGTGGTAAAACCTGTCGTGTTTTGATCCAAACTTCCAATGCTTTTGTTGCAAGAATGTGTATTTTAGGCCAATCTATGAAACAATACTTTTTAATCTGCAAAAAATCAGCATTGTTTGCAGCTCACCATAAGTTGCAGTGACGAGAAAAGTCTTCAACAACATGAATTCACTTTATATAAGCAAGGCTAATCAACAATCATTGATGTTTATTCGGAAATAATCTCCTGTTTTATAGGACTATTCATTGTTGCACTTATCATTTTATTGCAGCTCCACCTCCACTTCCACCCAAGAATGTCCCGACCTCTCCCCAGTCGACTGGCCCTCCCTCTGAAGATGGCGATGGTAAGAGCTCTTCTCGTCTATTTCTGCCTTCTGTTATATCGCACCATCACCTCAGGATAAAACCTTTACTTTTGATCTCAGCAGCGCCTTTATCTCGAACTTTCTGGCTCTATCTCTGTCAGTCATGTTTTATCTCTGTGTGTAAACTTACTGAGCACCTCTTCAAACTCTGCCTTTGATTGGTCACTGGTTGTCTGTGTTTCAGAAGTGTCAACAGAAGCAGACAGGTCCACCAGGAAGCCCTCAATAGCTGACTTGGACAACATTTTTGGACCAGAACAGCCTCCCCCTGCTGGCGAGGATACGGGTGACACATGGGTCTGCTTCAGTGCAGAATCTTCTGACCGGCCACCTTTACCAGAGGAACCAGCACCTCCCCTACCAGGCTCCCCTCCTCCACCTGAATCTCCTGCCCCACCCTTACCTACATCACCACCTCCTCCAGAAGACCCTGCACCACCTCTCCCTACATCCCCTCCCCCAAAAGAAGAACCTGTGCCCCCGCTCCCAACCTCCCCGTCTTCCTCAGAGGAGCCCACTGCACCTCCCGCCCCCTCATATCCTCCTACCCCAGAAGTCCGAAATCCTCTCACGCTCTCAACCTCACCACCCCCTGCACCTCCAAAGGAGCTTGCGTCTCCTCCCACTTCCTCTCCCCCTCCTCTTGACTCCCCCTCCAACGTCCCACCAGCCCCTCCTCCAAAAGCAAGCACCCCTCCTGCTGATGGAGCTGCAACATGCTCCATCCCACCGCCTCTTGTCCTGTCTCAAGAGGAGCAGCCCAAGAACACAGACTTCCCCCAATCCAAAGAGGACGGAAGTGAAACTGTCACCTCGCCCAACGATGCCAGCCAGGGGAGCCGGAGTACGCCTCCCCCACCTCCTCCCCCTACATATCGGGCGGTGGTGTCGTCACCGGGTCCCACATCTGGAGCTGGTGGCTCAAATAGTGGTGAGTAGTAGTCCATGACTCTAACTAGAATATAGTCTGTAGAGGAAAGGTTTTTTTTTTTTAGAGCTTAGATTGATTGTCACACGAACACAAATGTAATTACGAAAGCAAATGTCCTGGTCATCACAGCAGCCAGGTGACTATTCATATCAATAGCATCCGTACAAATGCAGTTAGGTAGGGATTGTTGTGACGGGAGTTGAGAAGGGATTGTACACCACCTTTGCTCCATTTTTAAATTTCCTTTCAGTGCATTGCACCCTCTTTGTTGTTAAACTTACACACAGTGAATCGCAAATCTACATTTTTATTGATCCCTGGAAAAGAGGTCATGTTTTGGCCCAGTTAGACGTACACCACCATTCTGCTGCAGACTTGTTATGTTGGCACAGGTTGTTGTTCTGACTGACTCGTATTTAAAGGTCAGACTTCTCTCTTGTAGAACTTATTCATTTTTATTGCACATACAGTGTCTTCTATAGGAGTTATCAACCAGTCCTGTCTGACTGTCCATTATGCAGCAGAAAAGAAAATCTTCTGGAAAAATTGTATAAACCACGGATCGAAACAGACCATATATCTATGTGAATAAATAGTCTAAATACAAGGGAAAACAGCATCAAATGCAGGCTAGTAGTTCACATAAGAAAGCGTGTGACCAATAGCTGAGCACAGACTGTTACAAGCCAATGATGTTTTGAAATAGTTTTGGTGGTTGCAGCTTTAGGAAAATCCTAATTGTCAGTTTTTAACAGATACTCAAGGCAGCTGAAACAGGAAGTTGCCTGTTCTCAATCCTTTATAGAGGTGTGCATCCCTTGTTTGCAGTAAAATAATACGCTCTACAGTTACATTGGCAAGCATATTTCCTATTTTTGTTATGGAAATATATTTTTATGCAAGCAATGTGTCAGATTCTGTCCATCCTGCATCTATTCTGCATTTGTACTGTAGCTGTTTCCACACTATTCAGCATCTTAAAAGAAAGTTTTGTAATGTAATCTCCTCTGCAGGTTCCTCCTCTCCGGTGCGACCTGCCACTCCTTCGTCAGTCAACCCCACCCCACCACCACCTCCGCCCCGCCCCCCTTCACGGCCTAAACTTCCTCCAGGGAAACCAGCTGTAGGAGATCCAGTGAGTGTTACAGTTTATTAGATTTTCACTACTAATCCAGATGGTTGTGTTATGACTTACCAATATTGTTCAATACAAGTTCTGATCAGTTAATACCTGGGGCCTTTGGCTCACAGCATCCTCGCATGGACTAGCAGCAAACCTCCATTGCAAAGCCAACAGAGCCAAACACAGCTGTACAACTTGCTTATGGTAAAATTAACTTTGACAAAAGTTTTCCAGGTAGAACAAAGTTCTAACAATCTGAGCTTAATCTGATTACTTGAAATAACTTTTGATGGTTAAATATCTTTCCCAAAAACAAAACAAGCAATGGTATAACATGTAAAAACCTTGAATCTAAGAACGTCTTTTTCCTTTTTTCACTCTAATCCAACTTTTCCTAATCCTACAATTTTTTTTTTATCTGTTTAGAATCGTCCGTTCAGCCCGCCGGTCCACTCTGCCAGCCCGCCTCCCATCGCCCCGTTGGCGCGGGCCGAGAGCACCTCCTCCATCTCCTCCACCAACTCCCTGAGTGCCGCCACCACCCCCACCGTCAATAAGGAGCTCTCCGTGTCCGTGTCAGGTGTGTGATCCCTCAACCGTCACTGAGCTGTGCGGCCTGTCCTCTGACGGCTGTGCTCACAGAGGCTAGTCGTGTTAGCTGGATTTAGCTTTTCCATGTCTCTTATTAAAAGTTCGTTGTTGATTTTATGCACTGGCCCTGTCCTTCCTTGCGCTCAGAGTTTTTTTGAATGAGTTATGCAGTTTTGTATTTATTTATTCATTTTTAAATGTATTTTTTTCTGGAAACAGTTTCTTGGCAGTGATGGTTTACTAAATAATGAAGTAAGCAATAAAGTGCCAAAATGTGTTGTGGCATCCGATGACCACACATCATTAAACCCATGCATGCCAGCTGTTTCTATCTGGAGATTAATTATGGAAAATATGACTGCAGTCATTTGTATCTTGATTTCTATTCATTCAAAATAAGAATGAATGTCTCCTAAAGATAAATTTGATACAATGAATTGTTAAACTTTACATACATTTTATGTCTGGTGTAGGTTGACGCACACAGACACATTTATATTTACACTCTCACACACATGTCAGAATGAGTGGGAGATGAAGCAGGTTGTTAATTTTAAAGCACAACCAAACCTTCCTTTCATGAATGAATACACAGCAACAGTTTATACTCCTTGATCTAACTTTTGAGTGAGTGTTGAAGGACATACAGTGCAGAGTCGTGAGTGGTTAATTGAAAACCCAAATAGATTTGAGAAACAAACTCTTGAGGCAGCAGCAGTTACATAAAAACAGAATATCGTCCCTGGTTGAGGTTTCTTTCTTTTAAACTGATTACAGGGACAGACGACTAGTAAACAGCTTCTCTGAGACTGTAACATATATAGACCTACATTTATACATTATTTATTCATTGTGGTTGTTATTGGTAGACCAAAAAGCTGATGGTCTTGACAGTATTATAAAGGTGACTGAGACTTCAATTATAAACTCACACTATTTCAGTTTCAGTGCTTTTTAATTTTGACATTTTCATCTTGTTTTTGTTTTAATATGCTTTTATTTTGTCAGTTCTTTTCAGATTTTTACTTTCTATTATTTTTTCCTTGGTTTAATTTGCTTTCTGCTTTTCTGTTTTGCCATTTGTTTGTCTCTTTATTCGTCCTTTGGCTTGTCAGAAGACGATGCTTATGTAGACAAACTGCCCACCTTTGAGAGACACTTTGATTCATTTGCAGGTATAGTAAAGATCCCCTCAGAGAGAGGAAAGGGGACGGGTTGGGGGGGGGGTGATCCTGTGTCAGTTCTCTATCTGTTTGATGCTCTATACACAGAGTGCAATTAACATAGACGGGATCCACCACTGAGTGTTTCTGTGCTTTCTCAATTAATGTCAGTCAAAGTGTGCAGGTATTTTGACATTTTTGTCCCACATTCTGGCTCAGTTTCATCAATCTTTTCACATTATACATCTCAAACTATGAGACATGTTAAAAGACCACCTCTTTGTCATTATCCTAATACCTTCTTATTTGACTTGTCTGCTTCAGGTTTTGCTTGCAGAGTAGGGACACATTCATTTCATTCTTTTCAAATGTGGCAGCATTATTCACTAAAATAGTAATTTCTCTTCACTGTTTTGCCTTTGCTGACTCGTACCTTTCCACACATTCGCCAAGTATTTAATAGATATAATAGCCTCTCTCTCTCTCTCTCTCTCGCTCTGTTGTATCTCTCTTGTTACCTGCCAGAAAAAATAAGTGAAAGCAGCGGTGACACAAAAAGCTGCATCTATTGCATAACAATATTTTTGTTTTTCTACAAAAAAAAAAGTTTGAGTGTCTTCCCCTTTGCCCATCTGCCCGCTCATCAGACTTTTCTCTCTGTTTTTATGACTGTGCACCAGTGGCTGTCTCGCCATGTCACCATGGCAACCGTGTGTCTCTTCTCTTGGCAACATCGTGTGTGTGTGTGTGTGTGTGTGTGCAGAGTGCAGTGCAGTGCAGTCCCTCCCAGATACCTTTACTCTCAGTCTGCACCACCACAGTGTGTTTGCGTGTTCAATGAGCGTGTCTGAAGAGCTCCTTATCTGTGGACCCTTGGGATCCATATTGTCATTCTCTCTCTCTCTCTCTCTCACACTCACACTCACACACACACTCAGACGCACACTTTGACACATACTGTCAGATCAGAGCTGCTGCTCCCAGAGTGTGTTTGAAGTCTGGCATGAGAATTAGGCTGAATTAGACAAGCAGCAGCTGTTTGGTATTCATGCCATCCTCTGTCTACCGCTGGAGTAGCACGACACAGCCTCAAGTTCAGCCAATCTCCACCTGGCCCTAAAGCCTCGGTCTTCTCCCACACTTGACCCCTGACGCCCACCTGTCACACCTGCCACTCATGCACCCTCAAGCCATAGAAAATTACAACCCCTAAACCCCGCCTTCTCCATCTGAACACCTGCCCTTTTGTTCTCTTCATGAAGCGCCGCACTGCTCTCATCGCTCCATCACCCAACAACTCTGTTAGTCCACTCACTCAACAACACACCTTCACTGCATCAAAAAAAACAATATGGACAAGAACAGGCCTGCTCTGCTCTGTGTCAAACTTCAAGGCACAAATCTGACATTGGAAAAGTAATGTTTTTGCTTCATTTTTTGTCATTTAGGAAATACCGCCATATGTAAACACGATCCCAGGTAGTGCTTGTTCTAGTCAAACTGCACCTGCATCCCTGTTCAGGGGCTGGATTCTCCAAAGTCTGATTTTGTTTACTAAATACATCATGACCGGCCAGAGAAGCTTTGAAAGGCTCTTCGAAATGCAGCAGAGTAATGAGGCAGCCTACAATATCCTGTAATCCACTTTTTTCACTTGAAGCAGCTTCTCCACGTGACCTCTCATCACAGCTTTAATATGTCTGTGACCTGCGGCAAGTGCAATAGTTTCTCCTTCTCAAATGTTTATTATATTCCTGAGAGGCTTAAACAATCTAGTGTTTTACAATTTAAAGAAAAGGAATCATTAGAGATTAGTAGGAAAAAAATATCATGTGAAGAGGAAATGTGTTTTTTGATTTTCTCCTATTAAGTTATTATTATTAGCAAATGTATGTCTAGTTCTAGTTGGAGGGACTTGCAATGAAAGTTAACCCGGACTTTCTGAAAGCATTTAGTTGTTGTCTCTGTGAGGCGAGACTGTCTTCACCTTCATAGTCTGTGTTTCGTGGGGGATCCAGCCCCTGAAATTGGGACGTAGCATCTCTCACTCCCTGTGCACCACAGTCCCTCCCTGTCTCTGCTCACTTAGTCTCATGGCTGCCCCCTGCAGGGTGTCTTTATACACGACAGTCTGCTTCCATTTGTTTTATATTTAAGTAGTGGAGGCCTGGAGGAAAATGTGAGCACAGTAAGACAGAGAGAAAATGCCTGAAATAGATAAACGCAATATGAACAATCTGCCACTTTTGAAGAAAGTAGTGCCAGTTAAAATTGCCACACATTGGTGTAGAATTACCATTTTCTTATGTTGCATAATAGAGAACACACTGGCAACTACAGAACTGCCTCTTTTGCCCTCCTCAGGCTGGACTTCCTCTCTCCTTAATTGTAAATGTAGCTGCTAACATCCAGCAGTACACACCTGGCCCTCACTCCACCGGACTCCTGTCTTTCCTCGTGCATGCAAGCAACCACCAAAAAAACATCAACCGTGTTGTCACATGCTCTGTCTCGGCTTGTCCCTCTTTGGCCCCCGGCCTCCACCTCCACGTTTCACCCCACTGACGTGTGATAGACCTGCCATGTGAGACTCACGCTACTGTCCTTCTCTCCTCCCCCCCCTCTCACCCCTCCTCACCCACTCCCCTCCCTTTCATCCCTCTTCCTCCTCCCTCCTCCCTTTCTCCGGACCCCACCTCCCTTCCTTCCTCCACCCCTCAACCCCACACAGAGAATGACCAGCCGTCCCTTGTATGGTTTGACAGAGGGAAGTTTTATTTAACCTTTGAAGGTAAGTTGTCTCTGCACCAGGGTAGCGTGCACACTCACTCTTCTGAGGCTCATTTGTGCAAGCTTCGCCCCCTGACCTGGCCCTTCTCTCCTTCCTCCCTTCCCTCTCCTTCCTTTTCAATCCCTCCATCGCCCTAACCCACGCCATGCTAACTCCTGGCTGAGCCCCCCTCCACCATTAGCAGTCAACTATGCAGTCTCATCATATCTTCTTCTGCCTTCTCTTCCTGACATTGTTCATTCTCATTTCGTCTGCGCTCTGACCGCCTTCCATTCCCCGAAGATTCATCGTTCTTCCTGTACTTTACTAATCTCTTTGCCGTCACTTTTGGTCGTTTGGTTTTTGGTTTGATCTTCGGGCTCTCTGATCTTCTTTGATCTTGTCAGAATAATTCAGCTTTAACAGCATGTCTGGAATAAGCATGCACATCTCTCTCAGTCTCTCTCTACATCTACCTTACCTCTGTCTTTCATTTCTCATCTACCTGTGCTTATTCAATTAAAATTAAGAGTGTAACATACTGTATAAAAAATCATAAAAGACGGTTTTATTTGAAGTAATGTTTATATGTTGGGTTTAATTATTTCACAGTCACAGAACAGAGAGAAATGTCTATCCTCTTCACACATAACCTGCTGTTTTCATGCCACCTTACTAACACAAATATTGTTCTCATTTCAAATACCTTTAAAGTTTAATTTCATCCCACTGTGTGTAGTTCTTATTTCATCCACACTTTATTGTTCAGGAAGAGTAGAGAGAAGATGGTAGAGTCCTGGTTTGGGAGTTGAAATATGTATCTATTCCTTGTCTGTTGTATTGTATACTGGGTTGAAGCTAATACACACTGATGTTTCATGTAGCCCTGCCTTTGGCTATCACAACCAGAAAACATAGCAAATGGCAGCGAATTCAGCACATTGGATGTTTAGTTATTGACATTGGTTGAGTGTGTGTCTTGCCATATTCAGACTATTTCAACGTGCGTTTGTATGTGTGTGTGTGTGTGTGTGTGTGTGTGTGTGTGTGTGCGTATTGCCTCCAGGCTGCTCCAGAGGGCCCAGTCCTCTCACCATGGGGGCTCAGGACACTCTTCCTGTGGCAGCTGCGTTCACAGAGACGGTCAACGCCTTCTTTAAAGGAGCTGATCCCAGCAAGTAGGTCAACAAATAGCTCCACATGTTCACAGCATATCCTGACATGACGTATGACAGTAAGATGTCCTGAGCTGGACCGCACTTTTCATGACTTCTTTCATGTGTGGCTGATGTGAACTCAGCTTGTACAGCATAATGCTGGATTTGGTCATACTTTACTTCATCCCCTTCCTAATTAACATTTCTAAGAAGTATTTCAACTGTTTTTTTTATAAACACACAACTCTGTGGTTGTAAACAGACATAGGGACTTTCTCTTTTGTCAACAATTCTAACTTCTCGCATGAAGCGTCTGTAACTGTAGTGTAAACACTTTATGAATGACTTTTACATAATTGCAATCAATATGTGTTATAAAGCTGTTATTGGTTGTTTACATACATGCTGACGTTATTCACAGGCAGGTTTAACACTGTTTTTGATATGTTATTATAATGCGTATTTTCCATAATTTTATTGATGTGATTCTTTATGTATGTATTCAATATTGAACACTTTGGAGCTCCTTATATTTCATGGCCTTGATCAACAGATGGAATTTGCTTTGTTATCATGGAGAGTGGAGAAGAAGTATTAGTACACATTGTTACAAGTACATATGTGCAAGTGTGCAGTGTAGAGTTTCTGTCTCTCTAACACACTTGTTGTCTTCCTCTTCCTATCAGGTGTGTTGTGAAGGTCATAGGTGAGATGGTTTTGTCGTTTCCGGCGGGCATCACGCGGCACTTTGCCAATAACCCGTCCCCCGCCGTGCTAACCTTCAGCATAACCAACTACAGCCGACTGGAGCATGTGCTGCCTAACCCCCAGCTCCTCTGCTGGTAATGACACCACTGTGAACTCACCACCTCACTCTCAAAACAAATAACAAATGTACCTTTTATTCACCGGAGGCAGTGAAGAGGTGAAAAGATGTTCTCACTGGCTCCACCTTACATGCCTAGTTCAAGTCTGAACGCTTTATTGTCCATCTTGGAATTAATTATATTAATATTACATTTTTTGTTTGTTATGAATGTTTATAATTTAACTAAATTTCATTCAAACCAAATCAAAGACTCACTGTGCATATCATTTCTATTAATAATAATTTCACCTAAACAGCATGTTGCATCATGCATTCAAAATGAGTCACCTTCTTGTGTAAAGATTAGTTAATGCAAACTGCTAATCAACTTTGTTTGTTTCCAATTTATTGTTTGTTTTTCCTTATAATAATATTTGTTTACACACAACAGATGCTACTTATCACTCTTACTGTATGTTATAGTAACAGAGCGAACGTTATTCATATATCACAGTTCACACAAGGAAAATGTAATGTGTTTTATAAAAAGAATGTATAATATACACAACAGCATGAGCTGATTAACATCACGATTAACATGATCCGAAAGAAACATTAAAAGGCAAAATGTTTAAAATGCACAAAGTGGCATAAAAACAAAGTGAAACTTTAAACATATAGTTCATTTTTCACTAAAAACTAACAAAGTCAAGATGTACATATGTACATACAGTATTTGGGATAGGGACTTAAACTGGTTAAACTATCTGACATATGGCTCGTAAAACATTCATGATCTCGTATGGAAAAGTTTGGTTGATGGCGAGGATGAGTAAACTTAAGATCATCTCAGACAGTGCTGACAGCCTATTGAGTCATCATGAGGTCATCTGAGTGTTCAGGCCAACTGCTCTGAACAGAGGTCTGCCTTTTTTGTTGTTTATCGTCTTTTGTTTTAATATTTTGATTCATGTTCGCAAAACACTCCAAAAACACTTCCCAGACAGACCCATAAAAAAGTATTTAAATGTTAATAAGCAAATCAGAAATCACTCGATACCACTAAACGTGTATTGACTCACAGCTGTAAAATGATTGCTGTTACATATGATTCATTACTAAATTATATTCATAGAATATGTCCCTTTTAAAATAGCAAATGATAACTTCTGCAAGAAGTCTTTTATTCGATTATTTTCTTAAACCCGGTTTAGTTCACGTCTGTAAAATCAGTGTAAAGCCCGACCTCTTGTGGCTCACTGTGAAATGAAACAGTTTGTTTTCCTGGTCAAACATTTCCTTAAAACTGAGACGCTGGATGCTGCACTCTAATTTTACAAGATAGGAAACATCAAATTCCTCAGGTAATCATGTATTCACCAGATATCACGTATAAAATGCCATATTTCGATCATGCTTTTCTACCAGCGACACCACCACACAAGCCAAGGCAGATGCCAAGGACTTCTGGGTGAACATGCCAAACCTGATATCCCATTTAAAGAAGGTGGCAGAGCAGAAGCCTCAGGCGACATACTACAACGTGGACATGCTCAAGTACCAGGTGAGCTCGACCCCCTGTGGAGTTAAAACTTGACATCACTAAGCAAAGAGATAGACAGGGGGGGGGGTGCTTATATAGATTGCAGGAGCAACGTGACATTATTTGTAATCCCTAAACGTTTCCTGTCCGTGTGTAGGTATCAACAGAGGGGCTCCAGTCGATTCCGTTGAATCTAGCGGTGAGCTGGAGATGTGAGCCCACCAGCACTGACCTGAGGATAGACTACAAATACAACGGGGAGGCCATGACGACGCCGATGGCCCTCAACAACGTCCAGTTCCTCGTCCCGGTCGATGGAGGGGTTTCAAAACTACAGGCTGTCTTACCTCCTGCTGCATGGTACAGTCTAAACTTTGTTATAGCGCTAAGTACCATTTAGATTATACACTATGTAATGTATACTACTATACAACATATGTTAAATATATATTAAGAATTGCAGAAATAATTATTCCTTACCTTAATGTTGGTTTTGCTGACTACACAATGGCAACGCTTGTACAGTATCACAACCGTACCAATGATTAGTGTAAAGTACACTTCATTCCGTAACAAAGGATTTACTGTATATATTTGTATATAGTATCTGCACAAAGGTTTTGACTTTAGGATGGTTTGACTTTGTCTTTCAATTGGTCACTTAGTCTTAAGAAGCTCCCATAATGCATTTGTCTGTCCTCTTGTAATCTTGACAGGAATGCGGAGCACCAACGAATCCTTTGGAAGATTCCTGATATCTCTCAGAAATCTGAAAACGGAGGTACGTACAGAACGATAAAAGTAACATGTGCTGTTTAGTGGTATTGATATTCTTTAGGGAACAGCCTGTGGCTAATCATTAGTTCTTTAAGATCTTTTAGTTTTATATTCAGATACTCGTATTCTATCATAAAATGTATGCATAGCCCCGGTAAAAAGAAAAACACGCACAGCCTACAAACATTGCTCTGATCTTACTTGAGTTGTGACAGAGTTTCTGAAGGCGTGTGGTTTTAAACACTGAACCTGCACTAGGAGTACAGGTCCTCAGGAAAATGTGGGGCCCTAAGTGGTTGTCAGCTTTGTCTGCAGTAAACAATGCCCACTATAATGCTGTTGTCAGTTTGATGTCACGCTGCAGTTTGGCCATTTCCAGAGCTTCTCTTATTCTCTAATGATAAAAGAAATCAGTGTCAGACGTCATCTGATGTACTTTAAATTGTCTGTTGCTTGTTTTATATGTTACAAAGTAGAATGCCCCGGGGGCTCACCTGCTCTCCAGAAGAAAGACACTAAACTAGATTATGTATTTAAATGTCTTTAAATGTAACTCTGTATCTGTTTGATAGCCTCTGACCAAAGAAATCTCATATGATTAGTAATTTCCTGTCAAATGAGTCTCATTCGGTGTTTTCTTGAAATCTGTATCCAGAAAACATTTTTGGAATTGGCATGAAAAGGTTGGCTACAGCAACATCTGTCGTCCTCTACAGCTGCTTACTGCATTTTTAATTTTGTTGAATCAGAACCAACACATCAATCGTTTCAAAAGCTGCTTACACTTGAATCATTGAACCTGATACCCTCGTGCACTTCACTGTATGAAATGTTGGGAATTAGACCATTTTTCCTTCACCTTGAAATCATTCCTAGTGGCCAGCAGACATCTTTCTAAAGTCACCATCTTCCCTCAGGTGTGGGGTCGTTGTTAGCACGCTTTCAGCTAACAGAAGGCCCAAGTAAACCGGCTGCACTTGCGGTGCAGTTCACCAGCGAAGGCAGCACCCTGTCGGGCTGCGACATTGAACTGGCCGGGCCAGGATACCGCTTCTCTCTCATCAAGAAGAGGTTTGCCGCAGGTCAGTTTAGTATTTTACTAACAACATGTGGAAACCAAATGTTATTTGTCAATGTCACTGGTGTCAAACGATAACTCGACTCATCCAGTAGATCAAACCTTTCTAAACCTACACTGATGTTTTTTTGTTTTTGTTTCCCTTATTCAAGTAAAGTCATTTATTTACCACATAAAAAAGTCATGATCGTCATCATTGTTTGATGTCAAACATCAATGTAAGATTAGAGAAGTTAGTTAGTTTCCTTTTTTTTAATGTTTTCTAATGATTTTTATTCATACTTTAAGATATGTGTATTATTGTCTATTATTGTGGATCAAGACATAATATACTTTCTGTCAGGGTGGAAAATACACACTTTTTTTGAAGGTAATATTTGCTAAAAATCTTGATTTTTTTCCAAATTGTCATTTAATTGGAAGTCTGTCAACAGCTGTATGAAATTTAAGATCCCTTTTGAATTAAACTATAATTGCTGCAGATTGATAATGAAAATAAATAACACGTAACATCATTTAAAATAAAATAATAATGTATAAATAATAATCTTTTAAGTGACAGTCTTATGGTCAGTGCAGTCAAAAAGGATGTTTCTGATTTCAGTCTTCTGCACTACTCAGTTTTATGTATTAGGTTCATTTTCATGATCATGCAGTGTGTACTGAAGTAAACAATAGATCTATTAAACGACTGAAACATGACGCCTAAACATTTGGTGATGCTTTTCAGGAAAGTACCTGGCCGACAACTAACCCATGCTACTGAGAACATGTCGAACAAAACAATCGCAGTGGACTGAGGTTGACACAGAGGATAGAGGACATACCGACGCCAGACAAGCGACTTTCCATTAACCTTTTCTGAACCCTCACGACGGATCCGCAGCCTACCCAGCAGTATTGTATAACTTGCATATAGCATCGTGGAAACTGTTTTAGGTCATGTAATTATCGTATTTGTATTCATTTCATGACATCTGTATTGCTGCAGTTAGACACCTGGGTTATTCCACCCTCTGAAGTCTGTGCCTCTGTCTCCATCCCCCTCTGGTCAATGTGTGGTGGTGGTGTTTAAAAGTTTCACTGCAGCTGCCTGACATAAGACATGGACAGAAAGAGTTTTTTGGCCAGATTTTTAACGCTGGATAACCGGCTGTTTGTTGTCGAGAGTCCGGGAAGATTTAGCTGTAAAAATACCCATGAATAAAATCTTTGCGGTCAGACACACACCGTAGCCTCTGACACAAAGCCTAACTTCCCAAAGTTAGACTAGTTTAGGTTGAAGCAGGGCCTAGGATAATACATCGTAAGTTGTACACCTTTATTAGCAGATAGAAAAATCAGCTCTTAGAATAATTCTTCTGTCAGAGTCTGAGCTCAAAGCCTGAGACGGCAGTCCCAACTGTCTCGCACTGACGGTGGCCGATTGTGTGTCTTTTGCCATAAAATAAATGCATTTACTGATGCATTTCGACCCATGTTGTCACAAGCAGTTAAAAGAAAGATGATGTTTCTTGTTGGTGCTTAAAAACACAGACGAAGAAAAAAAAAACCTATATAATCATGCATCACCTACTGGTACTACAGGGTCACATGACTTTGGATCGCATCCTTTTTAATGTAAATGCGCTGATCAGTCAATCAAACTGTTGATTTACAGACATGGAGAGGGTTTTTAGCTAGTTAGGCAGCTGCAATGATAAATCAATTTACTGGTTGCAAAATATGAACACCTGTTTTCCTGTCAGAACAAAAGAAGTGTACAAAGTGTCATTTTAAATCAATGATATATATCTTAAAGGGCGTTTGGTGTTTTCCTCGTATTGTCAGATAGCCTTTCTGTTGTTCCCAGGACAGCAGCAATAGACTCCAGAGTACATGACAGCATTCTATTTTTATTTATTGAGGACGATGATTTGTTGTATAAAACGTGATTCTGTATATGAATAGAGTTTGAATGGTATCGCACAACTCAGAACCCCTAAAGGTATAAATATTTGAAATCTCTCTCTTCTTTTTGTTATTTGTGTAGTTGGGTAACCTGTGTACAGTATAAGGTATCATTTTTGAATTTATTTCAGATATAATTTTTTAACTCAAGTGCAACGGAAGATTTCAGATGTATATGGGTGAGGGGGGGGGGGGTAATTTAAAGAAAAAGATAAATATCTTCCTGGATGCTGTGTTATGCTTTGTGAAAGCAGTGTTAATGTAGAGTTAGTTATACCCATGGGCGAGGTTCACACTTTTAAGGGTCAGTTTGACATTTTGTTTTCTTTTTTCAAGAGTTAATTCCACTCGTATGTGTCTGTTGGACATGAGGTGGGAGCCAGAAGTCGGTTATCTCAAACACTGGAAACAGCTAGCCTGGTTTTATTGTGGGTTATCAAGATATAACATGATTCATTTCTGACTTTGGCGATTCCTGCACTTTTCCTCTAGCGCCGCCATCAGATCAAATATTTAGAGTATTTTGGATTATGGACTACCTGCAAAACTAATGGCATTTCCATCAGCTTCAGCTGTACTTTGTTTTTTTATTGCTAGTTTGCAAATGTCAGCTTGCTAACATGCTAAACTAAGATGATGAACGTTGTATATGTTATACCTGCTAAACATCAGCATGTTAGCATTATAATTGAGAAAAGGAGAAAGTTAGCATTAAGCTCAAAGCACTGCTGTGCCCAAGAGCTGCTAGCGTGCCTGAAGACTGTCTTGTTCACCTTTTGGACAGAGCCAGGCGAACTGTTTTCCCCAGTGTCCAGTCTTAATGCTAAGCTAACCGTCTTGTGACTCCAGCTTATCATTTAACATACTCGGCAAGATAGTGAATCAGCGTATTTCCCAAATTGTTTAACCTCAAGGTCAAGACAATGACTAGAAAAGCAATTGGTTTTCCTCAACAGCAGTCATGACGTTTGTGGTACCAGTACTGGAACAGAATTTGTTGACTGGGAGCAGCTTGTTTATTTTTTATTATTCAAACCTCATCAGAAAACACTTGTACTAATACAACATTCTCATTTCCCGCATCTACCTGTCCAGTTATTCCTCAACTTGGACCACATGTCTGACCTGTTTCCCTTCACCTCAGTGGTACCTAAACTATTATATCATGAGCCCACCCCTGATCATCCAACCAACGCTTGAATCCATGGCTTTATTTTGCATAATTGTAATGGTCTCTGTGAGATGACATGAGTTGAATGAGGTTGTGGAGCGAGGTTAAGTTGACCAAAATGCTTTTCTTTTTCTTTTTGTATTTTATGTGTGTGTGTGTGTGTGTGTGTGTGTGTGTGTGTGTGTGTGTGTACCCCGGACAGTCAGTCCTCTGTTAAGGAGAATAAGCTGAATATTTTTTAAACGGATAAAAATGAAAAAATATTATATTGTTTAATGTGTAATAAACACTGTGCTGACGATGTTGAACTTCCTAAATGCTCTGACACTCAACACGAAGAACAAAAAGTGTGTGTGAAGCATCTCCGTACTGTACTGTATGTCGGCATTCTGCTAAATGCAGCCAATCATGGTCCTTTCAGAGCCGTCGTAGAAGCATTTGAGGCTGAATTTAGGACGAGAGCACTATTCGCAACAAGTCAATACTATTTTAAATGATAGAGTACTTTAATCAGGCGTACTTTTAAACATATGTAATTTGGCGGATAAAAACATCAGATTTGTCTCGTTTTAGATCAGATTTATTCCTGTGCGGACTTAAGTCTAAAAGAGCATTGTGGATTTCTCTGAGGTTGCATTTAATTGATCAATGCAAGGTGGTAATGATTGGTGCCATTTAGCTCCCACATTACTTTGGTAACAGTTTTCTCTCAGTCATTCCAGTCCATATGGTTGAGTGGATGGATCAACATGCCTGACAGGAAGCTGTAACTTGGATGAAACTTAAAGCTATCAGTGCAACAGTCACTACAGCATTATCTACAGAGGCCCACCACACCCACCCGCCATCATGCATCTGTTTTAAATTATTACACTACAAGTAACATGACTTTCAGCTTGAAAGTCATGTTAGTTGCCAGATAGTTCTTTGCATCATCTAGTTAAAAAATGGATAATGGATACAAAGCTTTTACAGATCTTCATCTCTGTGGTGAATTGGTCCTGCAGTAATTCATTATTGCATGCAGAGCATGAAGTAAAAGGTGGGGCAGCCATGATGATAGATAGTACTGAATTGACGTGTTGTGCTGAGTGTCAGTAACCTGTATTAATGTTGAGAAGAGAGCAGGGAGTGTGTTTATGTGTGCTATAAGCCAGAATGCTTTTTGGTTCTGTCCCCGTTAACCTCAAAACACATGTGCAAGCTGTTTGTACAGTACATAACAATGTTAAGATGAACTGAGAAACTTAGTTTGCTTCTTTCCAAAACCAATAAAAGTTATAACTGGAACTATGTTTGCAGTTTTCCTTGTATTATTTAGTCTTTCTCATGAATACATACAGAAATTTAGTTATATATATATATATATATATATATATATATATATATATAATACATGACTATAAAAATTTGTATTTTCCCCAACAACAGCAAGATCCGCAGATGAATGATCCTCGAGGTCCTCATCCATGACTCCCAGAGGATGAATCTTAAGTTTCATCTAGGGCCACCAGCGAGTCCAATTCTTTCACATATTCAGTAAATGATCTGACAAAATTAACACAATCATTTGAACAGACATGCACGGCTCCTGGGTGATGCATCACAACGACTCTGGTGATCTAGATCTTCACATTTGTTATTTTGCCTCAACAAATACTGGATGCATGCCAACAAAATTTGGTACGCACGTCTTTCCATGTTTTACACAGGTTACATTATACTTAAGTTTATGAACAAATACCTGCTGAACTAATGACGTACGTATCAGCCTTTGTCTCTCGTGCTAATTTCCATCAATAGAATAGAATGGAATAGAGCGTCTAAGACACCAGGATGTTAATGTTTGAGGCTTTTCTGTTACATATTGATGTTTTGATAACCTTATTGACTAAAGGTTTGCTGAAGTATTGTTCGGTGTCCAGTGTCCAGGAGCGCAATTTTAAAAAGATGTCACACCTCAAAGAATGTAAGACCTGTGCAAGAACATTTATTTGACAAAAATAGCAAAACAATAAGTTTAAAAACTCAAGTTTTCTATACTGCAAATACATGAAGGTAGAGAAGAACATTTTAGAAACCTGCAACCCTGTGGATTCTGGCTACATACAGGACACAAACCCAGGCTGAGACACAGATGTCTGAGTGGGAAATGATATAGTCCTGCACCACTCAGTAGGTTTATTTATATTATAATAGAATATATTCTTATGGTTGCACATATCGTCAGCTAGGGTTCAGAAACACATTCACATCTACAAACCATACAAGTTAAAGTAAAAATGTCAAAAGCAATTACAGACATTGTGGGTTTGAGCATTACTGCACATACAATAGAGTGATAATATGGTTTTAAGACATCAGCATTTTGATTCAGATTTTGTCTCTACTCAGTCGAGATGGGAGAGAGCAGTCATTTTGGAGAGAGAAGAAGAGAGAGGGGAGGGTTGGCCTCAGCAGAGGAAGGTGAGGTCGCTCTTCCTGCAGCCCACCTGGCAGCACACAGTGGTCAGTATGTTGTTAATATCTCGTTTGGTCAACTCGGAGCCCGGGTCTTTACTCTCCAAACTGCTCTGATCCCCTGTGGGCAAACCTGGAACAACAAAATGCAACAAATGTTAAAGAAACACTTGATCTAATTCAGTCCAATAACCAGGTTCACACACACACTGTCCCTCTCCAAATGGGTATTTCAGGTAATTTTGTTCACAATTGTTTTTAATAGAATAAAGAAGGACCAACTGTTTTCACATCAGTCTTGGGTAATTGAGGTCTATGTTCCCATTAAATAGGGAAACTCTAAATGAGTGCACAAATTAACTCAGTGCTATTTGTCTTCTCCTGTGTCACTTTCCTCTTTGTAATCAGCACGACTGATGGGCTAACTGGGTTTGTTTGTGTGTGACAGACAGAGAGAGAGGCTGCTGCCGGGCTAAACAGACTGCTGCAGCTTTTAATCATGATATGTGGGCTCCTCGAGTCTAATAAGGTAAAACAGCAGACAATGTCTCTGCGCTGGGGCACCTGTCTGCCTGTACACCCACTGCCCTACAGCCGCTGAATTAATAATATACATCACATGTACAAGAAATCACAGCAGTGGAAAGCTGCATGTCACTTTCAGAAACATGAAAAAAATGTTGTTTGGGTGAAGTACTGAGAACTCAAATTGTGAGTCAGTGACCATAACGTCAAAACACATGAATGGCATGAGAAATATGTCAAAAAGAACAGATTCAGTCAGATGAATTGGATGTGATTTTAAAGAAGTCAAAAGAAGATCAATTATATGTTAGGATTTTTTATTCAGTAAGTCTCATCAAGATATCTTTTGCAAAAGAAAAAAGTAGAAAAATAAAAAAGTAATAAGTTATGGGTACAAATTACCTATGTAGGTAGCCCTGTGGTGTACAACATCATCTAGTTTAAAGGATAGGTTCACGTTTTTTCAAGTCCATCTCAAAACATTCAGGTGCCCATTTGAAGATTGAAACATTTCTTGCTGTAATCATTCCTCCTGTTCATGTTGGCCATTATAAGCTCCCTTCTAACATACTTTGTTTTGTGCAAAACTGTATTCCAAGGGACAGCCTTGTTAGTGTGAGATTCCCTCTGTGTGTTTCCCTGTTGAGCTGGAGTGGAGGGATAGTAATAAAAAGAGAGAATTTCCTAAATGGGTTGTAATTTTGGGAGATATCCATTTGATTTGCCAAACTCAGACAGTTGAAGCCTCGTATTACTGTACTGTATTTGAACAGAGAGAGCTACAGATTTTGGTATCTTTTATTGGCCGGTGTGAACTAAAGGAGTGATTACAGCCAGCCACACCTGTTTCAATGTTCATATGGTCCCCTATTGTTTTAAGAAAGACTTGGAAAAATGTGAATTTATCCTTTAAGGCTAAATCTTCATAGTCTTAAAAATGCATGTCTATGTTATTCTGCATTATTCCTCCTTTTGTTGTCATCCTGAACCAAGAAGAAAATAAGGTAGTCTAACGAAAGGTGTTCGATTAGACTCTTTATTTCATCACTGACCGCTATATCTGCTGTTTCGACAATAAAAAAGGAATTTGTCTCACCGTCCATGTCTGACTCACTGAGGAATCTCCTCCAACGGGATCCCCCGCAGGTGTAAACGACGGCCCTGAGGAACTCTCGCCCGCATAGCTTCACCGCCTTCACCTCTGCTCTCACCTGCACCACACACACCACTGCACACAGCAGCAGAGGCAAAACCACCAGAGCACGCATGCTGAATGCCTGAAGGAGGTTTATCTCTCTGTTGATCCGGTTTGTTCCTGAAACTTCTGTCCTGTTTCCAGTTGGTTATCTGTTACCTTGCAGACTGTCTTTGAGTCTTCTTTCTTAATCCGATGCTTGCATCTCCTTGTTTTATATACCGTCCACCTTTCAGTTGATCAATGCTGAGTATCTCTCCACTTCCTCCCTCTAACTGGCCCTTTAGCCCATCCCAATCACACACACACACCCACACACACACACACACAGACACAGACAGTCGTCACTCTGTCATGACAGTCAAGTCATTTTATGTTTCCGGTCGTTTCCACATCACCATTTTTAGCCGTCAGTGACAACCATCAGCCTTTTACAACCTTCATTTGATGATCACATAAGTTGAGTGCAGCCTCCTCTGTGGTTATGTGATTTAAGGCTGTGATTGCACTGACCTCCACTCTACCACATGGCTAATTAAGTGATGCAAATTGATTCCCAAACAGATGTTTCATGTGTTTACAGCACTTTGATGACACGGTTGTCTTTGTCTTTACAGCAGTTTAGTCCATTTGAGAGGTAAAAAGTCAATATTGACAGTCCCATTATGGAGGTCATTACGGTGCTGCTGATGGTGCGATGTGAGACTCAGCACGACATTTCAGTGTGATCATTAACGGCGGAGGTCCCATCCCAGGATGTCAATGAAATTATATTATGTTTAGCTGGACTCTAGGGTTCCTAGAAAACAACGACATAAAGATAGAATGGAGAACTTCTAAGATATTAGGAGTCTTTTGGTTGCTTTTTTTCCTTTTAATAATAAAAAAGAAAACTTGATTGACCAGTTTAGCAGATTAATGGAGCTTGACCAAACTCCAATAAGAACTAACAAGACTTCCCTTATAAAGTAACATGTAAAGTGTTTAAAGTTATTTATTATTTCTTGTATACTGTTTCGTTACTTCTGCATATTAACCAATTGAGCCATTTTAGACAATGGGGTACTAAAAGGTGAAATTAGTAATAATTGAATGACTCTTTGCACAAATAGTATTAGCTTAGTTGCAGACCTAGACAACCTGCCGATTTTTCAAATAAGTCTGCTTATGCAGGGACTTGGTGTTGTCAGCTCGTTTCAGGTTGACATTATCGGACAGATTGGGGAAACCTCAGGCAAATATTTAGCACTGAGTCAGTAAACATTATGTTGTAATATTGCATGTACAGTAACATTAGCTGTGCAGATTCATAACTTCTGACATTCCTCAAGTCCTAAAAGTGCTGTGGATGAAATCAGAACAGCTGAGCTTCATCTCCATCACTGTACCTGAGCAAGTTCCCTCCGTTGATTAAGACTGTGCGATGTGTTTGAAAGCTCTGCAAAAAGCCAGAAAGTGGACCTTAAGTTGGAAATGTTTTGTCAGACTATACACGTTCATGAGCTCATTCTTTTCAGGTGAGGTTATCATGCAGTATCAGCAGAGACAGGTTTATTAATTTATCCTGACTATGCTGGCTAACATGTTTTCTACCTTTACGATGCTGCTCTTGCTCCTAGTTTTCTTTGAGTTATCTCTGCAAACCTTGAAGAGAGAGTACACTGCAGTCTGTGTTCATATAAACATTACAAAGTTGACAGAAATTCGTTTCTGAGCAGCAGCTGCAATGAAGCAGAGAAGGCTCCCCCGCATTATGGTGGGAAGTTGTTAGCTGTTATCAAATTACAAAGCTGATACATGTGTTCAGTATTCGGCCATAACGTCGTGACTGACTTTGAGAATTTATATGCACTGAAACGTGAAGATTTAAAGGGGATTACAAAGGGGATTGCAAGAGATGATCATTTATATATCAATGAACGAAACAGAAGACTGTGTGTCAATGTACACAAGTTTAATGACAATAAAGTTGAATTGAAGTCTGATTGAAGTTAAATGTACAAAGACGGGGAATGGAGATTCACAACTGCCATAATCCAAACTAAAAAACAACAACTTTCAATCGTCATGTACGTTTGAAGTCTACATTTAACCCATATAAGCTTTTTGGAGCAGTGGGCTGCTGTACAGCACCCGGGGAGCAACTTGGGGTTCAGCTACCCCCTCAAGGACAGCAGGAGTCCTATTTTACATATGTGTGTGTTTGTGACTTTTTAAATGTGCATTGTTTGCTTGATGTTGAGCCTGTCAAAGGAGATTTTCTGTTGCTTTGTGACAGAGAATAAAAGTATTATTATTTTGAACTATGGTACAAGTAGTAGTTGATTTTAAGAAGTGTTTATTAAGCATTTCATTTTTTTTTTAATTCTATCAAGACTATGTAGCATCATTATTGATTTCACCATATTAAATCATTTTCCAGATTAATTCAAATGAAGTAGTATTCTTTTTTTGTTTGAAAACTGACTTAATTGTGTCCCCTTCACTACAGAAACCAAACTTACACCCAACTGTATGTTACAGTATATTCAAAATGCCAGATACCCTGTGGTATTATATATATGCATTATACATATACACTGCCTTTCCCTGAAACCTTGAACTAAGTTTTTCTATAATGCAAATAGGCAAATGTGAGGTTTGCAGATAAGATCTGTTCTAATGGGATTGTTCATATCTTCAGGAGACATTCAGTCTCTGAAAACCAAATCTTACAACAAGAGCCTATAGATAAATGGATGAAACAGGCACAAACCTAATTGGCTCAGGAGTACATCAGTGTGTGTATGTTTGTGTGTGTGTGTAACAGCAGACTGAACAATGTCCCCCACAGTGTCCACCTGAGAGACAAGAGCCAGAGGGACACTCTGTTTGCAGTGTGAGCTGACCATCATGTGTCCATGTTACATTGACTCACTGAGAGAGTAATGGTTTCAAATTGTTGACATAAAATGCTATAAAGCCAGCAAAAGTGCACTCGCACAGACTGCAGTACCGTATTATGTCAACGAAAGGCAAAGATTGTTCAGTGTGTTCAATAAAAACTCATCAATTTTACCAAACCACTGTTTGATTTTCACAAAATGAACTTCATTTTTTCTTTACAAGGCACTTTTCTCTAAAGCAAACAATAAAGTCAGAGGCAAGTAAACATTGTATTCTTCTCTTTGTCTCTAATTGTTTATATACTCCTTTTTGTTTTTCAATGTTTCGCACTGTTCCATTTTATTTTTACCTCTATCTGAAGAAATGCAATTATGTCTATTCCCAACATGTATATTATACCACTTCCTTAGTTGTATGTTAATGCTGTGTACTAGGATTGAGGTTTATGATTTCTGTCTCTTTTCTTGATATGAATCATAACAGAGACATTACACAACTTAACTTAAAGTCTACACACCCAAAAGCAAATGGTCCCGAAGCCCACTGCCAGGTGGTCCAGCCAGAGAAGTAATCTCAGTGAAGTGACAATTTGGATTATTAAAGAAGCCTTCATTTTATGTGGAGCTAATATACACAGAGTTCACTATATGATGTACACCTGTACAATAATACCATCCAATACAACTGTTTGTCATGAAATGTACTTTTGTGATTTCTCTAATCATATTTTTTCAGGTGTTTATTAAATTATATTTTCTGAACTGCATTAAACTCAGAGGTATTTATTCTCTAGATGGGAAGGACCACAAATTAAAAACACCTCCTGCAGTCCTTTATAATGCCACCTTCGTCTGAGGCAAAGGTCACTACTACTTTTCCATTTTATAATGCATATCTTTTGTTCGGTTTACACTGAGCGTCCACACTCGGCCGGAGTTTTAGAACACCGAAAACGGATACATTTGAAAACCAGACGAGAGACAAGCAGACTAGCAGGCAGGATTTAATTAATGAAGTATACGAAACACTGTTTCGACTTAAGAATATGGGTATTTTTGTACCATTTATGTGGGTACCAGCACACAGAGGGGTAAAAGGAAACGAAAGAGCAGATACATTAGCAAAACAAGCTTTAGGAAGTCAGCACAAGACAGACATTTTACTCAGCAAAGCAGAAGCTAAATCAATAATCAAAAGAAATATTATTAAGGAATGGCAGCACAGTTGGGATGTAGGAGACACAGGAGGACATCTTTATGCTGTTCAGAAAGAAGTTGGCAAAGGGAGGCCATCCAGAAGAAGCACCACAGAAGAAAACATATTAACCAGACTGAGGATTGGACACACAAGGCTGAAACAATGCAACTAATAAATAAACACCCAACAGGACTATGTGAGCACTGCCAAATACCAGAATCTGTAGACCATATCATATGTCATTGCCAGAAACATACTACAATACGTGAAAGAAACAGGATTGAGCAAAATAATTTAAGTCTCTGAAATGGAGAACTCCTTTTTTTTTTTTTTTTTTTATTTAGTTTAGTTTTTTTTTGGTTTAGTTTTTGTAAGGGGATAGGTTATCGGGTCCACACTCCAATATAGTAGGTGGTGGTAATGCACCTTTCACTGGATGCCATCCGCCATAAAACAAAAAAGAAGAAGAAGATGAAGATGAAGATGAAGATGAAGATGAAGAAGAAGATGAAGAAGAAGATGAAGAAGAAGATGAAGAAGAAGATGAAGAAGAAGATGAAGAAGAAGATGAAGAAGAAGATGAAGAAGAAGAAGAGACAAGCAGACGGACTCCACCGCTTTACCCCTCCACACCTGCAGGGGGCGATGTAGCATTAAAGGGACGAGTCTCCGGATATGTAACTAGCTAGCTGATGAAAACAGCATGTTGCAGGGACCGCAATGTTCTGCAGTATGTCAACTTAATAGAAATGCCACTATTTGCTCATCTACTGAGATAATCTGCTCGAAACAACCAGACAGTAGTTGTCGGTCCCAAGGTGAGTCTTCTTCACTTGTTGCGTCGTTATATGCTAACTGAGGAAGCTAAGTTCAGCGAGCTAAACTGCTAACGTGAAACTGTCCATCTGGGCAGGATTTAGTGATATGTAACGCTAACTGTTACCTGTCACTGTTGCGGACACTTTAAACATCTGTCTGTGGCATCTACATCTACAACCAATCCTCTGCATTTAAGGACTAACGTTAAATTGATAGCATGGAAATGTAGTCTTGACGATCTTGACTTGACCTGTTTACCTTTTAATGCAGCAGCGACTATCATTTAGATCACGTGTTTGTGTTAGTGGTGGAAGAAGTACTCGGATATTTAACTTAAGTAATAGTAGCAATACCACAGTTTTAATATTTCATGCATTATGAACATTATTTAAATGTTGCAGCTAATGAAGGTGGGACTTGTGTCTTACTATCTGTACTGCTGGGCAGCGTGTGGATTCCACCAGGAGATCAATAAAGTATTATCTTTATCCATGATGATGCATCATTATTTATGTGTTATATTTTTTGATAATCAATCTGAACCTGCAAAATAACTTTATCTGTCAGACAAATGTAGTGGAGTAAAAAGTACAATATTTGCCCCCAAAATGTATTGGAAGTAATAGTATAAAGTTCCATAAAATGTAAATACAGTAGTGCAAATACTCTAAAACTACTTAAGTACAGTACTTGAGTCTATTTAATCAGTTACTTTCCACCCCTTAAAATTAAATTAAGACCTAGATGATGTGCATCATTTAAGTTTAATTTGTAGTTTTACAATATTAAATATGGTATAAGTAAAGCAAACACATTAAAAATACTACTCATGTTGGTATTATTAGCTAAATGTACTTCGGTATAAAAGATAAAAGTGTTGATGCTTGTCCACATTGCGTAAAACAGAATATTTCCCTCTGAAACTGTAAAGTAAAATAATATGGATAAAGTAGATGTACCTCAGATTTTTATTTAAACACTTCAGTAAGTTTGTTTATGTATTTTTCCATTATTATTTTCATTATTGACTTGTTTGTCAATTATTTTCTTGACTGATCTGTTATTTGTATATTTTATAAAATTCCAGAAAATAGAGAAAATGCTCATTACAATTTATCTGAGCCCAAAATTATCAAAGTGTCTTGTTTTGTAGGATCAAGAGACTTTTGGGCTTTGTTGACCAAGTCACTCCTGAGAAGCTGGAACCAGAGAATATTTGGCATTTTCACTCGAAAAATTACTCAAACAATTCATTTTTAAAAAGCTGATTTATTCTCTATGAACCGAGTAATAGTTTCAGCACTTAAGGATTTGTCTCGTCTAGTAGGTCTGGATCTACCATGGAGCTGATAATGAATCGCATTTGGCCGAGAGTCTTCCAGCAGCTCTACAGAACCTCAGTACTTCCCAGGAGGAACCATTCAGGATGTGCTGAGCATATCAAACCCACACTCCTGATGTCCCGCCTCTACCAGCCCTCAAACCTTCGTGATGCGGGGCAGGACAGCCGGCTGCAAGGAGAGGTGACTTGTAAGAGTCAACGGCTGATGCAGCAGGCCGGCCTCATCTATCCGTCCAATCCTGGTTGTTACTACTACCTTCCTGCCCTCGTCCGCTCCATGGAGAAGCTGGTGAGACTAGTTTTTGTTGTACAATCAAACGCATATTAAACAAGTATGATTATACACGCCAAGTAGTCCTGTTGAATCTGGTTGTGTCATGTCCACAAACTGTGATTTTTCTGACATGAATCTGTGACCCATACAAGTGTATATTGTTGATGGTTCATTTTTAGAATTTGCTGTCTTCCTCTTTTCATCAGTACTTTTTTATTTATATACATTTTCAAAACTAGCAACCACTGCAAAAGACTAAAAGATAAATCATATGCATATAGTTATTTTGGTTTCTGGTTTAAAGTTCACACAATTGTAACCAATATATAATCATGTTTTCATTTTCAGATTGGTTTATTTAGAGGCCTGAACAGATAGAAGTATTTATTATTCATAACAAAAAAGAAAATATTAGAGCAAAGTCTATTGGGGAGGTAAGGTTGAGTATTAATGTATAAACATGTAATAACTGCAGTCTTAAATCCACAGGTGAGAGTAATTGACCAAGAGATGCACGGGATCGGTGGGCAGAAGCTGGACATGCCCAGTTTGTGCTCTGCTGATCTCTGGAAGACCAGTGAGCGCTGGGACTTGATGGGAAAGGAACTGTTCCGTCTGAAAGACCGCCACGGAGCCGACTACTGCTTGGGTCCTACGCATGAGGAGGCAGTGACGACTCTGGTCGCTCACCAGACGACTCTCTCCTACAGACAGATCCCTCTGCTTCTCTATCAGGTAGCCTTTAATCCTCTTGCCACTAGTGTATTTATTATAATAAGCTGCCATTTTTGTAATCATGATTTATTATAAAAAACAACAGATCACACGCAAATTCCGAGATGAACCAAAGCCGAAATATGGTCTGCTTCGAGGGAGGGAGTTCTACATGAAGGACATGTACTCGTTTGATGCGAGTGAAGAAGCGGCTTACCAGACCTATGAATCTGTGTGCCAGGCATACACCGGGCTCTTTGCCCGGCTGGGTCTGCGGTGCATTCAGGTGCAGGCGGACACAGGCAACATCGGCGGTAAACTCTCCCATGAGTTCCAGCTGCCAGCAGACATAGGTGAGGATCGGCTTCTGGTCTGTGGGAACTGCTCCTTCTCTGCTAACGTAGAGACCATGTCATCAGACAGAACTGACTGCCCACAGTGCAAGACTGGCACACTGGTGGAGTCGAAGGGTATCGAGGTCGGCCACACCTTTTACCTGGGTAAAAAGTACTCTCATATATTCAATGCCACCTTCAGCAATGCACAGAACAAGTCTAGTATTGCAGAGATGGGCTGCTATGGTCTTGGGGTAACCCGTATTCTCGCCGCAGCCATTGAGGTTTTGTCAACAGAAGAGGGGATTCGCTGGCCCGGCCTTCTCGCTCCTTACCAGGTGTGTGTTTTACCCCCAAAGAAGGGCAGTAAGGTGGATGACGCAGCAGTTTTAGCTGAGGAATTGGTTCACACTTTGGGAGAGACCGGTCCTCATTTGAGAGGTGAAGTTGTTCTTGACGACCGTACACAGATGACCATTGGAAAGAGGCTGAAGGATGCCAACAGACTGGGCTACCCGTATGTTGTTGTAGTAGGACAGGGAGCGCTGGAGGAAACACCCAGGCTTGAGGTAATTTGTCAGGAGACGGGTGAGACAATGTTTCTCAGTAAAGATGGACTGTTAGATCTTTTGGGAAGAGTGAAAACTGTGTGAATAACAACTCTGAATGTGGAAATACATGTTTTATTTTATGTTTCTGTGTATGATGCAATTAGTGAGGTGGTGGGGGAGGAACAGAAAAGCCTTATATGTTTTTGTCTAAGAGGAGTTTATTTATAAAAACTTAAAATGTCCCTGCTGATTGACAGTGCTGATAAAATAACTGTCACAATAATAGCTTGATAATGAACATTTGGGATATTAAATTGCATTTGGTTCATGTTGTAATACACAAGAATGATTCAATTTCCTTTTTTGCAGTCTTTTATGTTTCCATGTAAATAAAAACATAAGAGGTGTGGAGAAATAATCACAATTTGCTGACGGGTTTTGCATCTGTAACATACAACTGACCTCTTAGTACAACTCAATGCTGGCATTTTCTAGTGGTGAAATAAGTACTCGGTTCTTTACATTAGCAAAATACCACAGTATATAGATATTGTAAATACTCCATTACAGAAAATAAAAAATACAGAAAAGTACTATTATCTTAAAATGTACTTACTGACTTTGCACCACTTTCTCATCATGCCCCAATATGAAATTACTACATTACATGTACAAGTCCTGCTTTCAAAACAGTGTGTAGAAAACGTACAACCAAGTTAAATTATCTCAAAATGCAGATTTGACAAGTTTAAGAGATATATTTTTATTATCAAAGTTATTTTGAACCAACTTCAAATTGTATTGGATGGTGTAGTCTATAATTATAATTTATTATGAATTATAATAATTCATAATAGGCTATTATATATAATTTTGTGTTTTGTAGCAAAAATACTACCTGAAAGTAATTAGTAAATTTAGCTGTTATGTTAATTGGGTGACGTGCAAATTATTTCCCTATACATTCCATCGCAAAGACCAACTACCTTTAATTTGTAGTTACATTTTCTACAGCACTTGAGTAAATGTATATAGTACTTTACCATCTCCGACGGTTTAATAATTGATTATTCATTTGTTGGTCAGGCGGTGGCGGACCTAATGTATCGGTTGGTACTGTGTTTCCGCACGGATCTTTATTCACGTAGTACCGCCCGAGCACATGTGTAAACAAGAAGTTGGGTAGCGTCTATAAACGTTAACGTTAACAAAGCCGATGTGCTACTGGTGGTAATCCAATGTCACAGTTTATATAAGATTTATAAACAACAAAATAGCGCTTCAGACATATTTTTGATCCAAAATGGCGTCATCGGAGGCGCAACATGACAGCGACGATGGCATGGATGAGCTCATGGACAAATTCAAGACTCATAATTATAAAAATGCCTTCAGTAAAGACAACTGGGAGGAGGTAACGTTAACATGTAGAAGCTATCGGTTTATAACATTAGAAGAAGAGCGATATCGCTACGTAAATGGGCTGTGTCATTGTGTTGTTGTAAGCCAGCAAGCTAACGTTAAACGCTAACTTCATAGAGGTAACGTTGCATTTCCGGTCCATCTATAGAGATTTCTCTGTTTTTGTCTCATTCAGGAGTTTGATAGAATACCTATGTTCATGAAAAAAGCCCCTGAAGAGATAGACCCACTAAAATACCCGGAACTAGCTTGTCTGCAGGCCATTGTACACGATGAAGATAGACCCCCAGAAGGTAGGTGGGTCCCTCAAGCTTCAGTCAAAACAGATTTTGTAGACTTGATTACATGTTAACGATTCAGCTCATATCCTCTTATTCGTTCCCAGAGCAAGCAGCAAGCCTGAAAGATGAGGGGAATGCGTTTTTCAAGGAGAAGAACTACGAGAAGGCCATACTGTCCTACACAGCAGGTCTGAAGAAGAAATGTGGAGACCAGGAGCTCAACACAGTCCTGCTCACCAACCGGGCTGCAGCACACTTTCACCTGGGCAAGGATCTCTTATTCACATGTCGTACAGATACATACAGGTGTGGGTTGTTGTGCATGAACCCAATAACATGGTTTACAAAAAATACGTTCAAGCTCTGTATTGTCATATGCACAACAATTACAGTTCCTCCAACAGTGCTCATAGAATATGTATTCAAAATAAGTCACGTAAGTGAAACTTAAGACATAGAATAGTGCAGCAGTTAAAATACGGGATTATAAAATAAAAGTGCACTGTTGTTTACAGGTGATGAGCAGCCAAGTGCTTATTTCACAGAATACTTTTACATGTAAAAACATCTGCATGTGTTTCATCCTCATTTTTTCTGGTTTATATCACTCAGGTAACATGCGCTCTGCGTTGAACGATGCTGGAGCTGCAAAGAAGATTAAACCAGACCACCTCAAAGCCTTGATCAGAGGTGTGTAATATTAGCCTGTCTACAGCTAGATTATCACCATGAATATGGTTAGAAGTTCTATGATAATGTAACAGCTTAACACTATATAGTAATCATAACAAAGCGAAACACTAAATAGAATAATGACCAAAACACTCCCGTGTGTCTTCCATGCGTTTCTGCAGGTGCTCAGAGTTGTATAGAGCTGCGTAACTTTGCAGAAGCTGTCCAGTGGTGTGACGAGGGGCTCAAGGTTCATCCTGCTGACAAGACGCTGCAGGAGCTGAGAGCAGCAGCAGATAAACACAAGGTATAATGCATTCAACATAAATGAGTAAAAGGGATTTTGTGGGGGAGGTTTTAAAGGAAGACTGGATTGCATTTGTGACATTTTGTCTGTATTGTTCTGAAAGTAATTCTAGTTCAACACAAACGTTTTCTTCGTGCCAGAGAGCAACAGAGAGAGATGCCAGGAAGGCCAAGATCAAAGATAAAAAGCTGCATGCTGAGAAAGAAGCTCTTCTGGCTGCTATAAAGGTAAGCATGCTGTTTAAAACTGAAAATAAACTCCCAACGTGCTCTTAGCTAAGCGTCAAACCTGTGGGAATAAAATTAATAATATTGTTCATAACATATTGTCAAGCAATCAAATCACTGATTCTATATTCAATAAAAGCCTTTTTTAAAAATGAGTATTAGACATATTTTTGTGTGATGTACGCAGGATCGAGGCATCAAGCTCCTCCATTCTGTGAAGCCTCGTCGGAGCGGTTCAGACAGCGAGGATGAGGATGAAGGCTCCCCAGCAGCGATGTCACAGCTGAACCTGGATTGCCTCAGCTCTCAGGAGGCCACGGGGGCTCAGGTGTTCCTGGACGAGCAGCGCTCTCTGCACTGGCCTGTTCTCTTCCTCTACCCTGAACACCAGCAGACTGATTTCATCTCGGCTTTCTCCGAGAATAACTGGTAAGCTCCTCTTGTCCTTTTTTGTCTAGTCCTTAATATATGTTGATGTGGTGTATTTCTGTGGGATTCTCCATATATCAACCTTTCTCCATCTCATTCGACTAAATTAAGTTCAACATTTTAAGTGGTTTTAGTTAGAAACACAGCTGCAATTTGTCTGGTTCAGTTTTATAGATCACCTGGCAGTTATGTTTGGAGAAGAACTTCCACCTTGGGACGTGGACAGAAAATACCACCCAAAAGATTTGCAGGTTTGTGTGTTTTAGCTAAATGTTATTGGTCATTTATGACGCATACAGTAGATCTGTGCTTCTGTTCTGCAGCCTTAAACTCATGAAATAGTATTTTTCTTACAAACTGAAGCAGGGCTACATTCACCGATGTTGTATGTTACATAGAGTTGGGCGATAATTCAATATAATCATGTATCCTCTGTCAATGGAATCTTATTGTGATGATGACATACATCGAGATATGTACTGTATATAGATGACAAACAATTAACTTGTCTAAATTGATAACAAGCACATACTAACGTACATTTTTCACGAGGTCTGATCAAACTCAATGAAATCAAAGTATGTCCTAATGGGATTACTCTGTGTTTGTGTGCATGCATGTAAACATAGTCAGTGTACAGCTTTTTTATTTGTGCTCTATAATGTCACTTAAAACTGTAATGTTCATTTTGCACGTAAGTTGTTAAATAAATGATCATTTGTCAAGTGTTTAATTCACACAGTTAGTTATTTAATAAATTAATATTGAATAGATGGAAGATTTTGGCCATATTGCTATATTGTTACAGTGATATTTTATAATACGTACTTAAGAATACCTGTCTTCTGATCAGTAATCCAGAGTACTACTGTCAAACAAGAGTTACATTTCATTACCAAAAAAATAGGGTGGTTATATCGACAGATGAAATGACAATAATCAATTGTTAATCCTGATTACATTTGATCCCTCTTCACTTTCTAGCTGTACTTTGAAGATGAGGAGAAGGAGACGCTCTACCAAGTAAACCCAGAGACGTCACTTTTAAAAGTGTTGCAGCATAAAAGGTACATCCATTGAGATTAAGTGTTTTTCAACTGTGATTTCATTTTGATTTAGACCACCAAGAATTTTCCATTTTGATTAACTGGCAGGTGTTTATGACTTTCTTGTAATTGATATTTCAACCTGTACCTCCCTTTTGTCTTGATAGGCCTAAAGTAGTTCAGTTTTGTGTTGGCTAATGTTCGTGGTTATATGCTCACATAACTTTGCATATAGTCATTGTAGTTATTATAATTATTCCTGAGCCTGAAATGGCTCATCAGTGTTTAATGACATTTGACTTTGTGCAACCAAATTTCAATTGGTGTTTCCTCCTTAAACAAAGGATCTCATGTGAGTCATTATTACACATGACTCACATGAGATCCTTTGCTCCTGTAATCCAGTACGGACGAATGTTCATCTTGGACGATATTATCTGTTGAGGAATGTATTTGTACCATAGATTCTTTATAGTAACTTCCTTGACATTAACTGTTCACACTCATTTTCTGACTCCCTTTCTTCTATGTTCTCTTAACAGGTGTTTTGTCAAGTCCGGCAGTCCCAGCTTCATCGTTCTGGTTCGGAGTTCGTCATTCTGGAAGCAGTTTTTAACAGGAAAGAAAGTACGAGGATTGTAAAAACATTGGCCTTCAAATCTTGAGACTTGAAGCTATTCAACTCCAGTGGACTAAGATTGCACTTGAAACAGACACAATGGAAGATATGCATGTCTCTTGTGGTCAAGAGTAGGACACATTGTTTGACATCAAATATCAGTAATAAATGATTATAAAACAAATGAAATCTCCAAAACTAATCCATGTGGATTCTTTGTTCTTCTGTCTGTAAAATGATAAACTGCAGAATGACAGCCAAAATCAATTAATTCAAGATTAATTAGATAAATGAAACACAAACAAACACAAGTATCAAACCATTGAACACAGAATATAAAGCCATCTGAAGAAAATCTTTGATTTTATTTTGATTTGTGATATTGGACAATACAATTATATTGAACTAAATTGAACAAGTAATGTAAATGCTTGTAAGTAAACATGAAAAAATGTTGCTACAAGTCTCAGTGCGAGTCAACAACAAAAGCAATATAATCTCAAATTCTGTTTTATTATCCACTAAGGAAATTAATTTGGACGTCATCAGAAAATGTTCTCATTCTTCAAAGAAGGTTATTAAGTCTAAGTGAGAAGTGAAAGCAAAGGACGTGAAGAAGTTTGACAATTTGCCAAGTTAGGTGTTCAATGCAGCTGTCGGTGTGCATGAACCAGCTTTTCTTCATTTACCAAGCTTCTCTGCTACAGTGCATTACAGACAACTCGGGGTGAGTGACAGTCACATCCTCTTGACTGCATCATATTTGACTGCATTGCTTTATAAAGACGGTTTGTAGCATCTAACGGCATGTCCCAGAACATCCACTCTACTGTCATACAGATAGTATCCTTGTATCATAATTCTAGGTGCGTACGACAAGTACTTTTAGTGATGGACAAATAAAACTTTGGGGCTTTCGTTCTATCTGTGAAAAAGATTTGAGGCGTTGGGGCTTCAAACACAGCAAAAACAGGGACACCTGGTGGTATGCAACACTTATAGCAGCCCTTCAAGACAGACCAAAGCACTACAATTAATGTAGATGATATTGTGCAATATGTTATGTATGTCATTGAGATACCAAAGGGACACAATTCAAAATTCACTGGTAAATCAATTTAGGATTCTGGTTTAACAAAACAAACAGCAGCATGATCTGAGCTGAATGATATGTCCTTGACATACTACTAGAAATACTAAAAATTTGGGTGGGACTCTCTGGCGCAACACTTAACTGGTTTGAATCCTACTTGAAGGACCGAGAATACTTTGTGTCTGTAGCTAATTACACACCAGAGCTGACTAAAATGACGTGGTGTTCCCCAAGGTTCAATACTGGGGCCTCTTCTGTTCAACATCTACATGCTGCCACTAGCTCAGATTATGGAAAACAACAAAGTGTGTTATCATAATTATGCAGACGACACACAAATCTACGTCACTATATCACCAGGAGACTGTAATTCCATACAAGGGCTGGGTAACTGCATTGAACAAATCAATGTGCCAGAATTTTCTTCAATTAAACAAAGATAAAACAGAAGTCATTGTTTTTGGTACCAAGGACGAATGATTGAAAGTCAGGGCTCAGCTTCAATCACTGATGTTAAAACCCACAAACCAAGCCAGAAATCTAGGTGTAGTTATGGATTCAGACCTCAACCTGAACAGCCATATCATGACAATTACAAAATCAGCCAACTATCACCTGAAGACTATATCAAGGATTAGAGGACTTATGTCTCAACAGGATTTGGAAAGACTTGTCCATGCATTTGTCTTCAGTAGACTGGACTACTGTAACGGTGTGTTTACAGGTCTCTGTAAAAAGTCAATCAGGAAGCTGCAGCTCGAGTCCTCACTAAGACCAGGAGGGTGGATCACATCACTCCAGTTCTGAGGTCTTTGCTCTGGCTTCCTGTCCAACAAATAATTGACTTTAAAATCCTGCTGTTGGTTTATAAAGCACTGAATGGTTTAGGGCCGAAATACATCTCTGATCTGCTGCTACCTTATGAACCATCCCGACCCCTTAGGTCGTCTGGGACCGGTCTACTTTCTGTTCCCAGAGTCAGAACTAAACATGGAGAAGCAGCGTTCAGTTTCTCTGCTCCACATATCTGGAACAAAGTCCCAGAAATCTGCAGGTCTGCTGAGACCCTCAGCTCCTTTAAATCAAGATTCAAGACTTTTCTGTTTGCTGCTGCCTTTAATTGAACCAGATTCAAGGATATTAATCAATTTCCTGCATTTCTGCATTTCACTACTGTATTTTATTTCTTACACTGCTTTTTAGTGTCTTAATGACTGTTTTTAATGTTTCAATGAATGTTCTTAATTGTTTTTAAATCTCCTTTTCTTTTGCCTTATGTTTTGATGCTTTTAATGGTTTTATGTGAATTACTTTGAATTACCTTGTTGTTGAAATGTGCTATACAAATAAACTTGCCTTGCCTTCAGAAGACACAACGGACCAATGAGAGGCCACAAAGCTCACTATGATATAGTGATCACTCCTGGATAGTTCACAAAAGCAGGCTGGGCTGGGTATACAGGAGCCATCATTACTGGAGCAGGCTGCATTTGTATTACGTTTTGATTCTGCACAGTGACGACGACGGGAGTTTCTGTGTGATGTTTTAACTCTTGATGCATCTGACACCAGGAGCACCAGGAGCAGAAACAGGAAACTGCAATGTCCTTACAGATAGAACCCTGCAGATAACCAAGAAAAAATATATTTGTAAGTTGTAAATCAACGTTGCTTCACTTCTATTAAACTTGTTGTGTGAAATCCCATGCACATCAACTTTACATGCATCATACCTTGATACCATATCTGTTTCGCATGCCAGCCCTTAGAGAGAGGACTGCAGGAGGCACAAACAGAGGTATGCCACAGGCTGCTAATATGGCCGGGCTGAATATGTCACATAATGGGAGACAACGATTCTCTCCAAATCTTCCTGAAACCGTGCAGGCAAGGCATGGGCAGCACCAGAAACCATAGCAACCTAAAAAGCACATAAGATACACCAACTAAGTGGTAGAAACTCTAAAGTGACTTGCTAAAGAAGCGCCAACACATGAGACATCAGGCCTTCAATCCAAATTTGTCAAAGTTGGGGTATTGAGTCTTACAAGTGTTTGCGTCCTCAAAGCAATCAAAGAGCCCACTTTTCCAGTGTACCAAGGGTTGTGCTGCCATTTGTTGTTGGAAAACTTTAGCGACAGGCAGTAAACAATGAACCTATTAATGCACAGAAATAAGAGGTCAGCAAAAAACTTAACCCCAAAAATTACAAATCGCTGACACCTTATATTGTATATCTTAATTGTAATTGGAGCACATATCTGAAAATGTCATTCTTGCAACACTTTTATATTCTTGGATGATCTGGTTTAATTTTTTATGACATTCTACACTATGACGTTTTATGACATTTTGTTGGCATACGATAATACTACTACTACTATACTATGGCTTTTTTATGACATTTAATCTATTCATGAATTCTATGCTATATGTTAAGTATGGTAATTTTAATGGCACACTATTCTCTCACCTTTTATGACATTTGTTATGGCATACTATACTTAGACCTTTAAATGGCATCCTGTGACGTTTTAAGATATTTTGTATGGCATACTAGAATATTATACTTTTTAAATTCCTTTTCATGGTGTACTGTACTATTCATTTTATTAATGGCTTATTATACTAGAACTTTCTAAAGTCCGTTTTATGCTAGTAATGTCATAGCATATGACATTACTTTTTCATGACAACATTTTTGTGACATTCCTTATAGCATATTTCACTATATAATGAAAAATATCATAGTATTGTATGTTGAAAAAGTAATTGATAAAGTCCTATTACAGCATGTAAAAGAATTTCAAAAATACGTCGAAAATAAGTCATAGTACAGTATGACGAAAAAGTCCTTATATATGTCGAAAAATGTCATGAAAAACATAGTATAGTGTGTCAAAAAAGTTTTAAAGTGTCATTACAGTATGACAAAAAATTCATGACAGTATTTAAAAAATATACATAAATATATAAATAAATATGTATGTATATAAAGATATTTGAAAAGTATTTATTATTATATTTTATATTTACCTATTAGTGACCCCTGCTATAGTATCTCAAGATCTAATGGAAAAAGTCGCAAGTACTGCGAAAAACATCAAGCAAAAAGTCATAGTATAGTATGTCTAAAAATGTCATGAAAAATGTAATTGTATACTGTTTCGATGAATATCTTGAAAATAGTCATAGTAATGGTAAAGGATGTCAAAAAATGTCATGAAAAAGAATCATAGTATTGTACATTGAAAATTGTTTTAAAAAATGTATTTGAATACTGTTTCGATAAATGTCATGAAAAAAGTTGTAGTTTAATATGCCGTAAAATGTTATGGTAAAGTATGTTGAAAACTTTTGTGAAAAAGACAGTCACTCCAGTGTGTCCAAAAAAAGTCATACAAAAGTAATGTCAAGAAAAATGTCATTGTATACTGTTTAGAAAAATGTCATGAAAAAGTCGTAGTTTAATATGTCGTAAAATTCCTAGTCTACTATGTTGAAAAACAATAATAAAAAATGTATGGTATTGTACACTGAAAAATATTAAGAAAAATGTTCTGTTTCGATAAATGTCATGAAAAATGTCATAGTTTAATATGTCGTAAAATGTCATGGTAAAATATGTCGAAAAATATCATGGAAAAAGTCTAGTATGTCAAAAAAGTAATTGTATGTTCAAAAGAGTTTTTTGTTGAAAAATGTCATTGTAAACTGTTTAGATCGATGTCATAAAACGTTTTTTTATTTTAATGTCTTAAAATTTCAAAGTAAAGCATGCCGGAAAATGTAAAATGTAAAAAGTCATATCAAAATTAAAAAAGTCATAGCATTGTATGTTAAACAAAAATTAAGAAAAATGTCATGATATACTCTTTTGAAAAATGTTATAGTATTCTGTGTTGAAAAATGTAATGAAAAGGTCATAGTATACTGTGTCGATAAATGTCGTGAAAAAGTCAGTTTAATATGTCATGAAATGTCATTAAAAGGTTATGGTTTAGTCTGTCAAAAAAAGTCATAGTATAATATGTCAAAAAATGTCACAAAAAGTCATAGCATCGTGTGACATAACACTGTCATAGTCATTTTATGTCATTAAAAAGTGATTGTATTGTAACTCGAAAAATGTCACAATATAGTATGTGGGAAAATGACATGAAACATGTTCTAGTACAGTATGTCAACAAAATGTAATGAGAAAAGTCATAGTAGAATATGAAAAAAATATCATAGTATTGTATGTCGAATTATTTCTTGAAAATGTAATAGTGTAGTATGTTGAAAAAAGCCATCGAAAAAACACTGTCACGATGAGGCTTTGCCTTCTGTGTCTGTGTGTGTCTCTGTGTGTGTGTGCTTTGGGCGTGGCTCCGCCCTGGTCTCCTCCCAGCTCCCTCCTGATTACATTCATTCAACTCACCTGCCCAGTCAATCCAGCTGCCTTTAATCTACTCATCACCCAACAGTATATTTACCCTGGTTCCACATCATTGTTGTTTCAACCTCCTCGGTATCCTGTTAGCTCTTGGCTGCGCTGTGTAATTGTATTCTGAGTTCTGTTTCCCCTGTTCTCACCTTCCTGAGTCTACAGTTTGGATCACCCTCCCGGTTCCTCAGTCTGTCTGCCCTGCCTTGTCCTGCCTGGTTCTCACCCTTGCCCTCTCGTCCTTTGGATTTCCCTGCTGTTCCCTGACAAGTTTCCATTTGTGTCCATCTTGCATTAAACTCTTTGTTTTCGCTCTGTGTTCCTTGGTCATGTCTGCCTTTGGGTCCGCCACCACACCCCGGGACAAACACAGTATTCTGAAATGTCATCACAGAGAATGTCGAGATATATCATAGCATAGTATGTCGAAAGCTGTCATGAAGAAAGTCATCATATAGTCTCTTGAAAAACCATTATAGTATGTTTAGAAATTTCATGAAGAAAGTCATTGTTGAACAATGTTATAAAGAGTCTTAGTACGGTGTGTTGTGAAAAATATACAAATTCATAGTTTGTCATCAAAAATCATATGTCGCAAAGTGTCATGAAAATATTAATAGCATAGTATTTTTTCTTTAATTGTGTCATTGAAGAATACATCAGAATAAAAAAAAACAATTGTCTAATTGTTTTGCGGAATGTTTTTCAGTGACAATACTACTTTATCTAATATGTCTTTCAAAACCAATGTTTTCTGTTTAAGTTCAGGACTAGTATTAATGACAAATTCTATTTTCAATGGCAAAGTTTACTGTCACTGTCCTAGCTACATAAAATAAAGATAAATTAGATTAAGTAATTTGGTTCTTGCACAATACAAACAGACACTAAGTCACTAAATTAGTTCTTTTTTATTTTCGAAATTTTAGTGACTTAAGAATGAATGTAAAAGTCATAAGAATTATTATACAAACTAAATAATGCAATGCTCCAAATTTAAAGATATGGTTTTCCACAGCTAAACATTAACAATGCTGTGAAACCTGAATCTATGAAGATAATGAAACTACATGCTGAGAAGAGTATGCCCATCATATTTGAATAACTACATTCACTAACAATGTTTTTTCATCAATCACTTGATCACCATTATATTCCCATACAAGTATCTTCTATAATTCAACAGTATATCACACTATCATGTCACACATGTATGCTCCAGTATGACATTTAGAATAACTTAGGATGAAGTTGTTTTGATAAATCAATAATTTTCTTATGCAGACACCACACTTATCTTCATCTATTAAAGTTACCTTTACAATATGTCGTTAAGCTTTCATTTAACCGCTAGGATACAGATGTAACATGTTTTACCTGATGGAGCTAGACACCTTGTTGGCGACTCTGAAGCTGTGAATGACTGAAATAATGTCATGGGTTAGGAGTGTCATCTTATGCGTGTTTGTACACTAACAAAGCTGCAAAACCTGAATCTATGAACAAATGAAAACAAAACCACATGCTAAGAACAGGATGTCCATCTTATTTTGATTACCATCTATTACACCTGTTAAGTTGTTCCAAGAGGAAACAAAAAGAGGTTATATTGTGGAAATGTCCCAAAAAGGATTTGTTAGTTTTTTACTACAGGACAGTTAATATAATGTCATTTGTTATTCTACTGGTCAGTTAAATAAGATATATTGATGAAGCATAAGTGACAGAGGAAAAAGGTGTTTTGTTTTTAAATTTCATAGGTGCCAACCAGAATTATCTTTACTGTCATTATTTCTTAACGGAAAGCATTTAAGAAGTCTTGTACTTTTAAAAAAATATTTTTTGGCCATTTTGACTTTATTAGACTGACAGGTTACATAGACTGGAAAGGGTGGAGAGAGATGAGACTGGAAAGGGTGGAGAGAGATGGAATGATTCAAAACTCGGCCTTGGTGTATGGGGGTCTGCTCTGTCAGGAGAGCTACCTCGGCGCCCCAGAAGACTTGTACTTTGACAAACATGTGACTGTCAAAAAGTAGCCTACAGATTAAAGCAGCACAATAAAGTTATTTAACTTTTGTAATAAATGATTATAAAACAAATGAAATCTCCAAAACTAATCCATGTGGATTCTTTGTGCTTCTGTCTGTAAAATGATGAACTGCAGAATGACAGCCAAAATCAATTAATTCAAGATTAGTTAGATAAACGAAACACAAACAAACACAAGTATCAAACAATTGATCAGAACACAGATTATAAAGCCATCTGAAGAATTCTTTTTATTTTATTTTGATTTATGATATTGGACAATACAATTACATTGAACTAAATTGAACAAGTAATGTAAATGCTTGTAAGTAAACATGAAAACATTTTGCTACAAGTCTCAATGCGAGTCAACAACAAAAGCAATATAATCTCAAATTCTATTTTATTATCTACTAAGCAAATTAATTTAGACTACAATTAATGTAGATGATATTGTGCAATATGTTATGTATGTCATTGAGATACCAAAGGGACACAATTCAAAATTATCTTTAATCTTCACTGGGAAATCAATTTAGGATTTTGGTTGAACAAAACAAACTGCAGCATGATCTGAGCTGAATGATGTGTCCTTCACCAGACACAACGGACCAATGAGAGGCCACAAAGCTCACTATTACATAGTGATCACTCCTGGATAGTTCACAAAAGTAGGCGGGGCTGGGTATACAGGAGCCATCATTACTGGAGCAGGCTGCATTTGGATTATGTTTTGATTCTGCACAATCAAGACGGAGGGAGTTTTTTGGCGATGTTTTAACTCTCGATGCATCTGACACCAGGAGCACCACTCACAGAAACAGGAAACGGCAATGTCGTCACAGATAGAACCCTGCAGAGAACCAAGAAAAAAACATGTAAAGTTGTAAATCAACATTGCTTCACTTCTATTAAACTTGTTGTGTGAAATCCCATGCACATCAACTTTACATGCATCATACCTTGATACCATATCTGTTTCGCATACCAGCCCTTAGAGCCACGGCTGCAGGAGGCACAAACAGAGGTATGCCACAGGCTGCTAATATGGCCGGGCTGAATATGTCACATAATGGGAGACAACTATTCTCTCCAAATCTTCCTGAAACCGTGCAGGCAAGGCATGGGCAGCACCAGAAACCATAGCAACCTAAAAAAACACAAGATGCACCAAGTTGTAACTCTAAAGTGACTTGCTAAAGAAGCGCCAACACATGAGACATCAGGCCTTCAATCCAAACAATACGAATTTGTCAAAGTTGGGGTATTGAGTCTTACAAGTGTTTGCGTCCTCAAAGCAATCAAAGAGCCCACTTTTCCAGGGTACCAAGGGTTGTGCTGCCATTTGTGGTTGGAAAACTTTAGCGACAGGCAGTAAACAATGAACCTGTTAATGCACAGAAATAAGAGGTCAGCAAAAAACTTAACCCCAAAAATTACAAATCGCTGACACCTTATATTGTATATCTTAATTGTAATTGGAGCACATATCTGAAAATGTCATTCTTGCACCACTTTTATATTCTTGGATGATCTGGTTTAATTTTTTATGACATTCTACACTATGACGTTTTATGACATTTTAATGGCATACGATAATACTACTACTACTATACTATGGCTTTTTTATGACATTTAATCTATCCATGAATTCTATGCTATAAGTTAAGTATGGTCATTTTAATGGCACTATTCTTTCACTTTTTAAGACATTTGTTATGGCATACTATACTTAGACCTTTAAATGGCATCCTATACTGTGATGTTTTTAGACATTATATATGGCATACTAGAATATTATACTTTTTAAAATACCTTTTCCTGGTGTACTATTGTGAATTTTTTTAATGCCTTACTATACTATGACTTTCTAAAGCCAGTTTCATAGCCTATTATAACATTACTTTTTCATGACATTTTGTTGACATAATACACTATGACTTTTTATGGCAAAAAAAGTCATATTATTTCAAAAAAGTCATACTATAGTATGCCGCAAAAAGTCACACGATACAGTAGATTGTCAAAAAGAGTCATGGAAATGTCATAGTATAGTATGTAAAAATAGTGAGACAAAAGTCTTCATGTTTACTTCTCCTGATCTTTACCTCCGTATTGGTTTCTCCAACAAACAAGGTCCATAGGGGCATCTCATTAAATAAACATGTTCTATTATAATATATATATATAAACTTTATCTTAACTGTTAGGATAACGATGTACATGTCTTATTAGCAAACTTTAAAGTTCTTACCTGATGGAACTGGACACCTTATTCGGAGAATCTGAAGCTGTGAATGACTGGAAGGACAATGCTGTGTAACCTGAATCTGAATCTAAAACGAAACTACATGTTGAGAAGAGTATGCCCATCATATTTGAATAACTACATTCACTAACAATGTTTTTTCATCAATCACTTGATCACCATTATATTCCCATACAAGTATCTTCTATAATCCAACAGTATATCACACTATGATGTCACACATGTATGCTCCAGTATGACATTTAGAATTACTTAGGATGCAGTTGTTTTGAGAGATCAATCATTTTCTTATGCAGACACCACACTTCTCTTCATCTAGTAAAGTTGCTTTTACAGTATGTCATTAAGCTTTCATTTAACCGCTAGCTGTAAACAGATGTAACATGTTTTACCTGATGGAGCTAGACACCTTGTTGGAGACTCTGAAGCTGTGAATGACTGAAATAATATGTCATGGGTTAGGAGTGGCATCTTGTGCGTGTTTGTACACTAGCAAAGCTGCAAAACCTGAATCTATGAACAAATGAAAACCAAACCACATTCTAACAACAGGCTGGCCATTTTTTTTTGATTACCATCTATTACACCTGTTAAGTTGTTCCATTTTTTGATTACCATCTATTACACCTGTTAAGTTGTTCCATTTTTTGATTACCATCTATTACACCTATTAAGTTGTTCCATTTAAACAAAGAAACAGAGGCTATGTTGTGGAGATGTCCCAAAACGGTTTTGTTTGTTTGACAACAGGACAGTTAATATCATTTAATTTGTTATTCTACTGTTCCTCCACTGCTCAGTTAAAGAAGAGAAATTAACAAAGCAGAATCATTTTTATTATATTGATTTTTTTAATCTGAAGCATCATTGAAGTCTTGTACTTTAGAGTAGATATATAACTGACACAAATCAGAAGATGCGAGCTGCACAATCAGGTTATTCATGTTTTTGTTACAATACACAGGTCATCCAAAGTTTCATTTCTTAAAGCTGCTATTCGGCTCTTTCTACTGATAGCATCAGTGAAGACACGGTACACTGCAGGTACGCACAAAGCTATGTATGTTGTTTTGATTTATATGCTGGTGCTGCAAGTTGTTTTCATAACATATTTATACTTTGTTTTGTCAAGGTTTATTCTATGAATCCTTCCTTTTGTACATGCATGTTCATTGTATTCATTGTCAATTTGTTACTAATAGTAGTCAATACTTATTACTAAGATTTTGGTCAAAAATCCGAATTTATAGGAAACGATGATGAACCGTCAGGTCAGAGGTGGCTGAAGGTTGTTTTCTAGGATTCAACTATTGATGACAAGAACCAAACCGAAGACATCCACAGCTGAAGCAAGGGAGGTTTTGATCCGGTTTCTGACATTTGATGCACAAAACATTTCTGCTGCCAAGCCACAGTAACAACACAGCCTCTACATGAATATCTTAGGAAGTCTCGTTACTCGTCACTGATGAAAGATTAACGCTTGTGTTTGGCAAAGTACTGTGTTACTGACTCATTTATCAAAAAATATAGAGTATTTAAATGTTTTTCTACATGTTTCATTTGATTGTGATTTCACTGACGTCAACACACATTCAACAACCAGTTTTTCTCAGGGGAGGAGCGCAAGTGCAGCAGAGGTTACACAAAACACATGAACAAAATGGCCGGTTAGACACTCAGTAAGACACCTACTTCACTGAGATTGTCTCATTTTTATACAAACAGAAAAATATACCATCGGAATAACTCCCATAATAACATGAAGATTCCACAAAGTGTATGTGTTTTTCAAAATTAAATAATTTATATAGGAATGAATCCTTATATTTATGTGATTATTGCTGCAGATAAAATTATTGCTTCCAATTAAAATTCCCACATAGTGACACACATTTTCTTGGGTTTTAAAATCCTTCAGAAAGCCGTTCGGGTACACAACATGACACTATGCTATATGTTTAAATCATACAGAATGTATTCACGCCTAAACTTGCAGAGGTAGCCAACATGGTGCCCGCGGGCACCTGGTCGCCCGCAGGGACCATGCGAGTCGCCCGCAAGGCATGTTCTAAAAATAGCACTAGGTCCTCATGGAGCTCCGTCTAAAAATTGTGGTTTCTGTTCTTTTTGAATCAAAAACGCTTGCATTCATGTAGATTTTAAAAGGAAGAGGCCGCCGCACCGCACTAGGTTTTCAGGTTCCGATTGGCGGGCGCTTCCCGTTGGCACCGGACGCACCGCCCCCGCCGCGATCGCACACTGTCGTCAGGTCCGTCAGTCCTCGGAACAGGCCGCGGGGCAACAACTCGTGGGTCGCGGGGGTAGAGGCGAGGCAACGCAGTACGATCGAAAAGGCCCAGACTAGAGGTTTGAACGCAGGCGACCAAAGACGCTCGCGTGCCTCGGAGGGTTGGATCCCCTCGGCTATAGACGAGACTTTTTACGAGTTTCTTCGTGGAGAAAAAGGTACCCAAAGAAAAAGCTGGTGACTACAGACTACAGGCCGGCATGCAGGCTTCATTGCGCAATGCAAAGTTGACCCAGATTTCCCAAAATGTGGTGATTAGTACTAATGTAATAGGATTCATTTAAACATGTAAAAGAGTTTTTTTAATTCTACATTACAGATCATTTGTATAAACATCGGACAGAGTTCATGATTTGTTCAAAAATGTTACGAAGGTAGTGGTTCAAACGAGTCGTGATGTGAAGATATGACATAGTTAATATTTTCCAAATTTTTTTTAGAAATTATCATTTTTACAAAAATACAACAGGTGCGATTTTGAACAAAATACACAATCATTGTTAATAATTATTGTGAGGAATAATTAACATTGACATGTGATCAGTCTCTTCACATATATTATTATTGTTAAAAAGTGATCTGTGCAACTTTGTTATTCATGAAGTTTGTATCAAACAAGTAGCCCTTCGTACTGCTCAGTACCCTTGAAGTAGCTCTCCGTTTCAAAAAGGTTGGTGACCCCTGACCTAAAGCAACAACAGACATGTTAGTGTTTTGGTAATGTGGTAACAGATGCAGACCTCTGCTCTCAAACTCTTTCACGTTTAAAAGCTTATTCCTGATCCTTCATCTTGAGACCTTTACAACAGTAGTTCACTTTTATTAAGTAAGATAAGCCCTTGGTCTTTAAAAAGAGTGATTAACTTATCAAATCTACCAACTTACACCATAGAATCCCATGATTATCAATATTGTAGCATTATGTCTACAATGTAGACATTTACCCAGCAAGCTCAGATTCCACGGAGACACAATTCAAAATGATTACAATTGTGTATATCCCTGTCTCCCACACCCAAGCAAAAATAATCAGCTTTTACAATGAACGTCCACAGCATCATCACACCATAGATAATAGATCTGAGCTAAATCAAAGCCACAAGGTTCAGTATGAATTAACCATAACAACTCCTGGTTGGCTCAGAAAACCCGCAGAATTTAGTTTACAACCATCATTGGAGCAGGCTGCATGTTGACGATGACGGTCTTGTTTTGCTTGCGATATTTCAACTCTCGGTGCATCTGACAATAGGAGCACCACTCACAGAAACAGGAACTCGCTATGTCCCTACAGAGAGAGCCCTGCGGAGATCAAACATATGGATTATGATATTTTTATTGTATTCCTCAGTATTTCATATTAATCGTTAAGTTCAATGGTCCACAGAGAAAATGACAAACATGTGAATGTCTGACAAAGTACATTCTTTGTTGCCCTAATTCAACCCTAATTCAAGTGTCTAAAGCTCTAAATTAAAATGTATTTTTGTAAGATTGCTTAATTTATGTAGCTTTATGTGAGGCTTTAATTCAAACATCATCAGTTTTATATGTTTTGTACCTTGATACCATATTTGTGTCGAATGCCAACCCGTAGAGCCAAGGCTACAGGAGGCACACACAGAGGTATGCCAAAGGCTGCCGTTATGGCCGGGCTGCACATGTCACATAACGGGAGACAACCGCTCTCTCCAAAGTTTCCTGAGACCGTGCAGGCAAGGCAAGGGCAGCAAAAGAAACCATAACAACCTAAAAAAAATACATACATGTTAAAGGCTTTATATGATTGAAGGACACATGGATGTTTTTTACAAGTTATCCACAAATATATGACAGAATTGTGAATAAATATTATTGAAAGTTGTGATGTTGATTCTTACAAGAACATTTGTCCTCACAACAGTCAAAGAGGCCCGTGTTCCAATCTGTCAAGGGATATGCCATTGCCTCTTGAACTTTACCTTAGCTGGAGAACAATTAAACCTGCGAACACACAGAAATCAAGAAATCCTAGGTAAAGTCATTTTGAGTTACACTGAACAGAAACGTAATTAATTACAACACATATTTCATACTGAAGAGTTGATAATCTTATTAGACTTCCTATAACTTCATGTACAATGTAAAGAGAATTAGTTTGAAAAACAGTTGTTTAAAATGAATTGCTACTTTTCTGTTTATGTATTAATCAGAGTGACTTTATGAGAGTGCCTCCGCAAATCTTTTGTTCCCTGTGCAAACGAGCTTTCTTTCACCAGTAAGAAATGTGCATAAATATCAGAACCAAAGCAGTTCAATCAATGCATTATTAGAATATGTTAATTGTTGCTGATAGTATTGCATATGGGGAACATAATCTATATCCCTCCGGGTTCTCCGGCTTCCTCCCACAGTCCAAAGACATGCAGCTTAGGTTATTTGGAGACTCAAAATTGCCCGTAGGTGTGAATGTGAGTGTGAATGTTTGTCTGTCTCTATATGTGCCCTGCGATGAACTGGCGACCTGTCCAGGGTGTACCCTGCCTTCGCCCAATGTCAGCTGGGATCGGCTCCAGCGCCCGCGACCCTGAACAGGATAAGCGGTTTGGATAATGGATGGATGGATGGAATCTATATCCATAGTCAATCACAATGTAAACAATGGCAACAGAAGAAGCGTACTACAGTTGCTTCAGCTCGGCTGGTATGCACAATGCTCCCGTGTGAACCTTTCTCTCAGAGCACAGCGGCTGTACACCAATCATTGCCAGAAATAACCAAATGCCTGTTTTTGTGAAAGGATGAGTATGCTTTGTCAAAAAGTGTAGCCATGTCAGACAACAAAATGAAAACCAACTACTCCCACTTTTCTCTTCTTGTGAGCATTCAACATGTAAGATTAAGTTTACATTTTTGGTTTAAAATAAAGATATTTCTCAAGCAGCAAACTTAAAAATCTTACCTGATAAGGCTAAGAGTCTTGTTGTCACCACGGAAATCTGTGAAAGAATACACTCTGTATGAGGAGTGGCACCTGCGTATGAGCAGTGGAACTCCAACAATGCTGCTTAACCTGAACCTTTCGCCCAAATAGTCTCAATAAAAACCACAGTGCACATTAAGACTAGTGTGTTTATTGCTATTCATGTTATTACAGGTCACTTGTAACAGGTGTGGCAAACCAGTCAGACATTAGCTTCTGCAATTCCTTGGTTGTAACTGTTGGGAAAAATCGAATGACTAAATGTTTCGTTGGCACAGGCCTGTGTTCTCATACTGAGTGTTAGTGTGAACTTCCTCTGACACTAAGTGTCTCAGCTGGTTTGTAGATTAGGTGTCACAGAGGACTACTTGGTGAGCATTTCATCTGTTTGTCCTAAATAAGAGATAATAAACCTGTAGAAAACGTCAATACTTACGCAGAGCCTGATTACGATAAAGTGTCTTTTGTACTAGAACGAATTGTTAACAAGTGATGTTCCAGATACTCTATGCAGACTGTGTGAAACGCAATTCGTGTGTTATTCTTTGTGACAAGAACTTATCGTAAATTACCCTGTGCCACCACACTGCCTGTTGTTATTCAAGTATATATAGCAGAGACTCAGAGACAGACCTCTGAGCAGCCTTGATGCATATTCTGTATGTGAGTCAACTCTGTCTCCTTCTTGCAAGACTAAATGTCCTGTTTAATGATCTTTACATCGGCCTCGAGTGAATTTTTCTAACAACAATACATCCCTTTACAAGGGGACTTTTTTTTTTTTTAAACAGTAGTTGAACCAAACATCCGCAGCAGTTTCTGTTCCGCCCGTATCATAAGCAATGTAGACCACTAACTTGCTGACAATACAGTCATGTACAATGTTGGTTCTTCCACAAGAAAATCTCTGCACTAATCACCTAACATCATTTTAAGATGGTTTGAGGTGAATTGGCCGAAATGGGACTTTGTTACAATGAGTTTACTTTCATCTTGCGGCTATCTTTCTTTACTATAAATATGTGAGTCTATAGCAAATAAATAGAGAGCCCAGGTAACTCATCATTAAAGAGTCATAAAGCATCATTAAGCTTGAAGCCTTGTTGTTACCTCTGCAGTTGTGGCTGAGATCTGGCGACTGCGAGTGCCAAAACATATCCATACTCATACCATTTAGTGAGCCCTAGTGCCCAGTATTTAATAGTTTCAGTATATGATCTAATTCGTCACTTGTTTGTAGATCAAGACCATATATTACATAATGAAATGTTCAAAAACTTGTCTTTTATTCATAGTCACAAACAACCTTTCATTAACCAGGCAACATCTTAATGGATTACACCTCCATCTGCTGGTCATTAGTGATAGAGCATTGAAATATCCCACTCAATAAGAGATAGTGTGACGTGATTCACATATTACTAAGCAGCATTAGGACTACTTGTGTTGGAAACAACTCATTTGTCATTAATACAGTCACTGTGGAAGGGAAAACAGGGCATTTTGTAAGAAAACTCAAAGGTTTTAACATATTTTCCAATGTAAAGCAAGCTTAAAAGGAATACCCCCAGTGTTTTAACACTGTAACTGTTGGTTACTCTGCCGATCCAACCGTTCCGAAACTTAATAATAGAAGAATCAGCCTAAAGACATACACACTTATAGTAAAGACAGTTTAATTACAGTGCACCGCTGCTGTTCAGCCGTATCTGTGAAATGCTGTTAAGAAGTTTATTAATTACTGCATGTCTAATCTGGTCAGGTCATGTGCCTGAAATTGTATTAAAGTCACATATTTGCTTCATGCAAAAGAGAAAGACCTATCCATTGGTCTCTTCTTAACCAGTTGTTTAGGCATCACTGTTTCCAGTAGCCTCCTCACTAGGTCCAGTCTGCCTGTCCTGATCAGAGCCCTGGATAACTCTGTGACCTCTGCTGTGCGAGTCCTGTAAAGGCACCTCAGCACGGACTTCACAATGTCCTCAGGGTACCTGTCCTCTGCCTTTTGCACCCACAGCTCCAGTTGGGTGATTGCGAGGCTTGGGTCAGGGCCTCCCTGCATGAACAAAGTCAAGAGGGCCTGTAGGAGGCAGCGCAGTGCTGTGGTGTCTGTGCTCCTTGGTCTCTCCAACTCCACTGCCCGTTTGAAGCAGTCTGCAGCGTTCTGCTCCTCACCCTTCAGCAGGAGGCAGCGTCCTCTAAGCAGGTGGAGGTCCGGCAGGCTGTCACCCAGCTCAAACTGTAGGGCATGGGACAGACTCACCAATGCACTGTTCACTGTCCCCTCATCCACCAAAAGACTCTCCTGGAGTGCATCTATGCCCATGTAGTAGTACACCTAAAGGGAAAGACTGAATCTGAATATCCTGTTGCTGTAAAAAAAAAGCCATTTACATTACTCATTAGTAGTTTGTGTCTTTACCTGTGCCATCTCCAGGTGAGTCCGCAGACATTGGCGTACAGTCAGCACCTTGTCCAAGTCTTTTCTGGCCTCAGTTAGTTTCTGTCGGTCTGGAATTTCACCTTGTCCATGTTTTACCTTCTCCAAATCCCTGACATAGAGCATCATATTGATCTAAAAGGAAAATCATTTATAAATAGTTGTACTATGCATCTTTTTATTAACATCATATTTTATTAAATGTATTTAAATCATCACATTATGTAGGCGTTTGGAGTATAAAAGTTCACTTTTATCACATAAACTTGATATACACAGTGTACAAATAACTATTTACGTATGGTTCACACCAGCTCTGCTATTTGATCCATTTGTAGGTATATCTGAATTTTGTCAATTTTTCAGCCAGTTTAAATTAATGCGAGATTTCACATAGTAATTGTCTGAGTTTTGCCACCTTGGTTTTTGCATTGGCTTGATCGGCTGCAGTACCTTGGCACGGGTGCAGTAGGCCTGCCAGTTGAGCTCTGGGTCTGGGAGCATGTTTAGGGCCATGTTGCACATCCCTGTTGCCATCTCATGTTTGCCCAACAGAAAGAAGACCTTTGCCAAAAGGTTCAGGGTGAGTGCATCATCACTGGCCAAGTTTATGGCCTGAGGAACAGACAAGTATATTGTATGTTAAATATAAATAGTTAAAGGTGCCCAGTTATTGCTGCATGCTCAAGGACTTCTTGTTGTTGTGGTGACTCACACTTTCTCAAATCAATGCCTGTTTTATACTGTCATTGATTGCCTCCTGATTCCTCACTCACTATTCTTAAACACAGCTGAGTGCATCGCCGACCCCCAGCCGCTACTCTGGGCCCAGAGACACAGGGCGGAAAACAGGTTGCGCACTTTTATTGTTTTTGATGGTGTATTTGGCTAACAGCTAACAGAACTACCAGTACACACACTGCTGAGTAATGTTACTTTGCTGCCACTCAGCAGGCACAAGCAAACAGCTTGGTGAATTGAATTTTGTTTTTGGCAAGATTGTAGGAAATGTCTTTTACAACAACTTTGCGCCAAATGCATCGGCATCTGCAAAAGAATTGATGACACGATATTATGTGCATAACATATACCTAACTTCTACAATGTGTAAACCCAAAACAGCAACAAGCAAGACCCCACATCTCTGTTCTCCATTTACCTGCTCAACAAAACTTTCCACTGCACTCCATAAGAGCAGTTAATCATATGGATATGATTTGGATCGTGACATTAAAAGGTAAGATAATAATGTTAAATGGAACATGATGCTGTGTCGTACAGACACACACACTTTTAAAAAGGAGCCACTGTTATAGAAGAGTGAACCGGCACTTCCGTGTTCTGCATGTCCTTCACTGGCACACGTCTTTTACAACGCTTGCAGACGGGTTGTTTAATATCCTCGGGCTCACGTTTGGCATCTAGGTAAAAACCCATAAAATCCCTCAATATGAGATGGTACGTTACTCTTTGACACGAAGACGTCCATGCCGGCATGTCACTGGCGTGCTTTGATCAAGTAACCATGATTGCACGATATGAAAATAGAAACAAGCTCCCAACTCGAATAGTGACTACAAATCAGAAGAAGAAATTAATTAACATTAGTAGGAATAATAGAACCAGATTTACAAAGGTATAGGCAAGCCAGTTGTCAATAGGAAGAAGTTATCACCTGTGGAAGAACAGCTAACAGCTAGTATCATGGCTAGCTTGGTTGGTAGGGATTGCAGAGATTGCAGCGAAAGGCATTTGTTGATATTTAGTCGCAGATCTGACAAAATGGTCAACCTTTTGTCAGAATGTGGATGTTAGTTAAACTGCAATGTAACTGTGTCAGCAGTGTTTGCTACTAGCAACCTAATTAAGAATGAACTGCCGGTAGCAGAACACTGACATTATCCGATTTTACAACTTCTTCCTCACCTTTTTCTTGCCTAATATTTGGTAAAAGATCTTAATGTGTGGGTTGACTTACAGTTCCGTAGCAGGATAGAGGATCAGTAGCCGAGTAGCCACAGTCATGTATAGACATGGGCACGGTGGTGAACTCTTCCTTCCTCTCCAACATGATACCGATGTAACACCAGGTAAGAGCTGAGGGGAGAGATCAGAATCAAGGATTTTACTCCAGTTAAAGCATTTGTTGTTTGTCTCCCTCTAGATTGATGAAATGGTCGTAACTACTTATGTAACAACATTTTAAATCAAATTGCCGATGTTATTACTAAAACAACGTTCTCTACAATGGGCAATGGTCCTTTGCATGGATTGCAATGAACGGTATGAACTACCGAACGCCCCAAAAGGTTGCAGCACTTAATCCAAATATCACCAGCAGAGTTGCACTTCACATTCAACATAATGCCTCTAAATGTACAACAGAGCAGATGTATTCATAGAGAAACACACTGTACCATGTTTACCTTTTTGTTGCGTTTTCTCCAATTCTAGTGCTTCTTTGAGAAGCTTCAGCCCCTTATTGTAGTGAGAAAGTCTGGAGTATTCAGAGTCTGCTTTGGTCTTCACTATGTCGTCCAGTCTGCAGAGAGAACATTACTTAATAGAAATGACACAGTAAGTGGTGTAGTGGTTATGTTTTGATGATTTTGTGTTGTACCTTATATAGATGGTCGCCATTTTAAAATACCAGCTTCGTTTTTCCTCTATTGGTATCTGAAAAACAACAATATTCTTTACGAGTCATAAAATTACATTTATTGTGCAGGAATTAATATTCATGTCTTCAGGTGCATGCCCTGCAGGCATTGTTGAGTTGCTATTCCTCCCAAATGAACACAGCTTTGCACTCGTCTTGAATAAAACAGTGTAACTAAAGTGTCTGTGCTGTGCCAGATTTAAGATTTGAAGGATAAAATTGGCTTGACTTGATTTTGGGGGAATATTAGTTGTATATCTATGAGCTTAGTTTCATATTTATAACTCTTCCGAGTACCGCCACATACTCTAACTTCAGTAAACATTTGTTGGTGAAATTAGACATAGAAGAGAAATTAATTCAAAGATATCAAGGATTACCAACACTGCATGGTTGAAAAACCCACCAATGAAATGCTGGAAGGTTATAAGTCACAGAATGATGCATGTGGTCTCATGGCATAACCAGTCATTGTTGTGTTTCAGTGCTCCTCTTTACATTCTCACTATAGATGTTAATCGTAAACTATTATAAAATACTAGAAAAGTAACGCACACCAAGGGTTGTAATGAGGTGCAACACTTTGTAAGTCTGTCTTTGTGTACGGCAGTTGTGAATAATCACCTGTTGGTGATTGTTTTCCTTTGTATATTTAAACGCTGTACTTGTAATTATTATAAGTGGCCTGTAATGTTTACATAGGATATGAATAGTGTCTTTTTATTATTGTTGTTATTATTTTTATTTGTCCTCACTTGTATAAGATGTGACGGGGAGGGGAGTGATGTTAGAGGAGTATGGAGCGAACAGATGGGGGAAGCAGTTGACGTTTAGTGGACTCGAAGAGCACGATTTTCCGGAGACTGCTCAGCAAAGGATCCGAATCAACCTTTTTGGATTATAAAGCGGGAGACTATACAGTGGAATACGGCACAGAGGACTGTGGTGATAGTGTGTTCTATGGATTAAGGAACAGCTTTAGTATCACTGTATGTGCATCTCACCAGCTGACCCCCATAGTCCAGGGCTCGGTTGTAAAGTGTCAATGCTGCCGTCAGTCTGTCTCTGAGGACCTCCTCATTGGCCAGCTCCACGTCGTAAGGATGAACGTAAGCTTGCTCAACCAGGCAGCGAGCAGCCAGAAGCCTGGCCTCATCCTGAAAGGCCTCTCCAGCGTCTAACCCCATAAGGTGGGACACTTTGTCCACACACTCCCCTGCATCCAGCTCTCTCCCCAGCTTGTCGTACACGTAGCCAAGGTTGGCCCAGGCATTAAGGTTACCAGGGTCTTCTTTACAAATGCTTCTGAAAGGTCAAGATACATAGAGAGAGGACAGTTTGAAAAAGATCCCTCCAGTCTTAAACACTGGAAGACATTTTACAATATTCCATGATATTTTATTCTTATTTGGCAAAAATAAGATTGGATTGACATGACATTTTGAAAAGACTTCCATGGTCCCAAGATGACAAATCCAACCAATGTTGGTGATCCTCACACAGTCCAGTGTGCTGGTTTGTGGTTAGCGTGCAGAATTTAAGTATAGCTACTAAGACACACTTTAACCTAAGTGGTGTTTCTGTTGTAAAAAAAAACACATTACTAGTAAATATATTTTGTGAAATCATGCATCAACAATGTCTCAAAACAAGGCCTCTTGCTCAGTGAATATTTGGAGTACTCTGCCTTAAAAAAGGAGTTCAGTCGTCACCTGAATATTTCCTCAGCTGTGTCAAAGTGTTCCAGGTGAAAAGCCAGCAAACCCAGCAGATTTCGGACAGCGTACTGTAGATATCCCACTTCAGCCTCAAGCTCGCCTCGCAGGCTCTCTTGTTTTAGGTAAGTGTCTCTGAGTCTTAGCTTCACAGGCCCAACAGGTTCACAGTTGAGGTTGAGGTGCAGGTGAAAGTGGCCGGGTATGTAGTCCATGTCCTCCATGAGAGACTCAATGTCCACTGTACTGTCTGCCTCCATGGCCTCCTGCTCTCCTCCTTCTCTACCTGCTATTTAAAAAAGACAAGAGATACAATAAAAACACTGCTTTCGAGTATTTTGACCCAAAATCCTGTACAAGAAACTACCTCGTCCTCCTCAGCCTACAGTTGAACCTACTGCGACAGAATTCAGCCACCAACTCTTGACACCCCGGTACAGACAGGTTGAACGGGTTAGGCTTGGGAGTGACTATGGGGGTGGAATAGCTAGTGTATGGGGCAATAGACTACAACTATGGATACATACAACATGTTTTTTCCTTCACATTTCAACTGCCCCTTTTGACTTTAATCCAACAATAAACAAATCTCAATCATCAACTCTATTTCTTTTTCTTTTTCAAAAAGGAGATAGCAAAACCGAGTTATGTAATCTCATTCATCCATTATTTTTTATTTGGCTCTTTAACAGAAGCACCAACTGACATTCCTTGGAATTTATTCTGACAGGATGATATTATTCATGTCTTGAGTTATTTAAAAATGGTTTTGAAGTCTTGTTTCGAAGAATGTTTCAGTTAGCCCCCTCAGCTGTAGGAGACTGAAGAATGTGAACCGTCAGAATCGGTGAGACTGAGGCAGCACGGAAGGAAACTCCATGAAACGTCATCTTACTATAAATTACCTTTCATATAATTCATAAAAATTAGTTATTTTTAAATAACTGCTGCAGCTGTTCATATTCTTCACACTGTTATGTAAATATTGTATAAACACATATCTTAACATATTTTTAACTACCCCTTATTCTTTCTATTTATTACCACTATACATAGCTGCTAAAATGCATTTTGTTGTCTCAGTACTTGCAATGACAATAAAGTTGAACCTAATCGAGACAGAAAAACATGCAGCTGTATAATGAGCTGTTACAGAACATTATCCAGCTAGTCACACAATACTACATTGGGAAATCAGACAAACACATGATAAGCACATTTTTTGTTTCAGAACGCTTTTGCATACAAATCCAAACTCTTCCACTAGAGGGTAAACTTGCATTATAATAAACCAGTGGAACAAACAGGAGAGGTTGTTAAACGTTTTAAATCCACTATCACATGCAACGTATTGATGGGCTTTACAGGCCCGTATCAAAAGTGGTTCCCAAGCAAGTGCAAGTTCTCTAACAAGACAGGGAAAAACTCCACAAAGCCTCCGCACATGAGAGACCGTTGGAGAGATATTTCAAAGAGAGATCAGCCCCCCTCTGACAGCTGTAGTGCAATAACTATGAGGGAACAAATCAATTACAAAAAAAGTGCAGGAGTCAGGAGGATTTTAGCAAGTGCAAGACCCACATAAAATAAGTTAAGATGAAAAACTTGAACCCTGACTGCTCTGCAGTCAACATATACAGTAATAATCAGTCATACTATCACAGATAGTGTTACAAACATATCTACATATTGAAAATGATACCAAAAAAAACGTAAAACATCCCCTCGAGACATGTTTAAGAAATTGACAAATAATCCGTTTTGAATAACTTTCACAAAAAAAAAACCTAGTTACAAATTCTGCACACTAAAGGTTTCAGGCTTCCCTTACTAGTCAAAAAAATCATGATCATCCATCCCAGTCGTAAACTGATATTAAATGTGAGGTTGTGTGCGTGTGCCATAACCTGCACAAACATCACTCTGCACAGTCACTGTCCTACACCAAAATGAAGCAACAAGAAACTGGATCACCTGGAGCCAACAAACACAAATATGGAGAGAACATGGAAACCCACACACAGATGCCGGTCAGGTTTGCACAGTGCTGAACCGGCTATGTATAGCACCGTAACACCTACTGTCAGAATGTTGCATAATTTGTATTTAGTACTGCAGATTTGCCTCCTTGTGGGCCGGCTGTTCAATTTGTATCATGTGGGTGTGCAGAAATCTGAGAATGCTGGTGGCCATCGTGGACACCAGGCTGATTGCATGCTAACATAATGATTACAGATGCCTGTTTGTGTAGCTGTGCACCCTCTGAGCCAAAGACAGAATTTAAACAGTATTTGGCTCGTAAATTCTCCAGTTTAGGTGATAGAGTTTACATCCCAGCAGCAAAGTGACAAAACAAAGGTGTTATGGGGAAGATGTTAACCCCTAATAATCTGTGTGGTTTCAGCAGTACTCCCCTGTAAAGGGGATTAGGATAAGTGTCCCATATACTGGTAACGGTCCGCTTTGCTTTCAAACTAACCCCTTGTTAACCTACTTAATTGTTTTGGTGTCTGTCTTCATTTCTGTTACAAAGGACAGTGTGTAACTCATGAACAATATACAGACATTCAGGGATGAGAATGGAAAGGCTGCCTGGTATATTGTGAACAGTGTGCACATGAGCAGAGATGGCAACCTCGCAGCATCAAAGTTCTCTGAAATCCTTCTCTGCAGAGAAGTTACATGTACATTGACAGGAGCATAGTCAGGAAATTCGGGGCCCCTCACGAGATGTGACACTGACTACAAAGGGTCATGGGATCACATGGAAAGCCTTATTAATCCAGACTTTATACCTTCTGTCTAAAACTGAGCTCTCCTCTGTTATTAATGCTTCTGATACACCTTCACTATTTAGTCTGGTCCAAAGCCTTATTAAGAATGGAGGGAGTATGTATTAGGCTTTCCTCTCCATCGCAAACTGAAGCCTCACTCTGGTATCCAGGCTCAGTAGCTCTCCTGCCATATCAGAAAGTGTGAGACAAGACTAATCCACTTTTGATCCTGAACCCTGCTTTTAACATATTGTTATTCAATGCAGATCTCCAACCTCCTTTTTACCATGGACTCCCCATTCATCCCCTTTTCCCTTGAGACACACTTATACATGTAATTAGTGTGTGGAGCTGAAAGGCCTCGGCCTCACTAAGCCACCCCATCACTGTTGACTATGACTGCATTTCCATTCTTAGTCAGCTTCTCTCTGGCAGCCTGAGTGAGCGTTTGCAGTGAAAAGCAACTCTTCAGCCCTCCAGAGGCCTTCTCTGACTGCAGATTACACGGCGCTGAATGTCTCTTTGTTCTGTCTCAATGTGTATTAGATTTACGTTGGCACGCAATATTTTCAGGAAATCTTAGCGGAGCACTTTCATCAAAAGTGATGACTAATGGAATTCCTTTTTATCTATTCTATCATGCAATAACATCGGGATGGGGAGGCAGCCACAGTACTCATAGATCCACATGAGGAGCTCCAGGCCCATCAAGGACCATTTTGCCTGGACTAAGTCTTGTAAGTTGTCATGTAGAGCCGCAGGGTGTGAGTGTGTGTAGCTGTGTTGAGATAATGTGAGTCTTTGGAGAGACAGACCATTGTCATACTCCCGTACAGTGTTTGGACTCTTAATCCATCCCACTCCCCAGGGACATTACTGCATCTAAACTACTTCTTAATGCAATGATCTGAAATCAGCATTTTTTTTTCTGAGTTATCTGATTCTTAGAAAATTGGAAAATAAATGTTGGATTTTATAGTCAGCTCCAACAGGAGTCTTTGAAATTGAAAACATGACGTTGATAATTAGAAAAGGGTTTTTGATTTGTGCCACAGACTGTTGTGGAGTAAAACTAAACTGATGTACACGTGCTTATCCAATCATAAACCTGACTCTGAAAACCTTGACTTTTCTCCGATCTGATGAAATGGTGTTTAATAGGTAAAGTTATGTTGGGGAATGTGTGTAGGCTGTATGTTAGTGATGAGAGCAGTGGCATTCACAGGTAGAATAAAATGGTGCAAAACTGGAACTGTAAACAATTTGATATAATAAACTATTTCACATTTCCCACACAGGTGATAATCCGCCGAGGCACACACCAGTTTGGGTAACGTTAGCCATGTTTGCTCTGACAAGGAAGCCCAATTGTACAGTGTTGTCCTACTGCTTTCATGTTTGGTAACGTTAATCCTCTCAGAAAGCTATTTGAGGTCCCAAAAACCTGTTGTCGAGCAGGTACCATGCACTCCGGATGACACACCCGAGAAGCAAAAGGCGTCTTCTCTGGCAAATTAGCAGTTGTTCATTTCTCCCATGATTTTTCCCGGAGAACCACTTTGCATTAAATCTAAATATGTTTGTCCCCTGTTTAGTTTACAACAATATCCCGCGACTGGTGGGCACAAAGATGTTTGGTTTAATCTATTTTTTTCTTCTACAGACCAAATCTGTGCTGTACAACACAATCCGTATCGTTCACGGTGATATCATGTCTTTAGCAAACAGCCAATCAAATTGCAGCACTTGTGACAACAGGCAATCTGCAGCCACGTCCCAATTCAGCGGCTGCATCCTTTGAGGCTGCATTTGTAGACCGGTTGAGTCACAGCGGCTGCGACTAGGCTGTGTTTTAGAAAAAGATACATTTGACAAAATTAGGCTCAACTCCACAGTACCCCGGTTACCTGAACTTACCCTTTTCCCTTGTGTCTCCAGGATCATTCTGACTCCCCTGTCACCTGCTTGCTACCATAACCCTGAACTATCTCACTAGCCAGACTCTCACCCTCATCAGCCTGCCCTGCTCAGTTCAGTTCAGTCCTGCCATTGCTCTGCTACCATCTCCCTCCGCTGCTCCTCCCTAACCCCTCACCAACCACATCACCCTTTGTCCCTACAGTGAATCCTTCATTTACTCTTCTACACTCTTTGTCTGTGTTTGCATTTGGGTCCACAAAATACTTAACATAACAAAATCTTGACTTCTGTGGTACCATAATGATTTCACTGGTTAGTTTAGTGACAGGTTTAAATCTGTGAGGTATTTCTGCAGTACCAGCTGGGTCTATAGCTGAAATCCATCCTTTAATGGTGGGGCAGCGGTCAGGGATGTCTCCCTGCAGCTGGATTTAGATAGTTAAGTGGCTTCTCAGTTCCCCCAGCTCTTGTCTCTTCACATGCAGGACCCTGTCAGGTCTCAGTGGTGGTGTTGATGTCAGTAAGGAACCTCACCTGCTTGTCAAGGTCTGCCATCATCAGCTCATTGTCTGTTGCTTGTTCTCATCTGTGAAAGAAGCAATAAAGCATGAAATGCCAAAGAATATCAAAGCAGCAATATCTGTAACTTTTCCAATAATGTAATACAGTCTATATTATGCTGAAATAAATGGGCCACTCAATGAGTAGCCTACTTCAAATATCTGCACATTATTTTACTTATAGTTAAACTTTGAATGCAGGAAATTTACGTAAACGTTCTCAGTGACCAGTTCCACCACTGTAAAATAACTTTTCCGTTTGCGTGTTGTGGTAATTTCTATTTTGGTAGTCCTAATTACTCCAACGTGTTCCTTTGTACGTCTTTTATTTTGAAAGTCGTACCGGAAGCTCTATAGTGTCATTACAGCTAACTTTGCAGTCTCCTCTCCCACTCTGCGGTCGCTGGTCGCTGTCATCATGCAGGTGGAATCTGCGCAATGTAGCTGAGCGTAGAGATCTCCAACCAGCCACATAACCGGCCTGCAGCGCTCATACACCGGGCACGGGACTCCGGAGGTTAGGCTGTATCTAGCGCTGTGGAGGGGGCCAAACAATAAGACACTGGAAATAATAGTTATCATCTGTTTTAACTTGGTGATCATAGGTTTCTTTAGACATACGGGCTTCATCAGTTTGACACCAATGACAATGCGGCTAAATCAGGAGTTCATCTCAACATTAGTCTCCAGTGAGAACATTTCATAGCTGTTGTGCTGATGCTGTCAGTTGTTGTTTTTCTCTCCTGGCGCAGTCTAACTCAGCTGGAGTCGCATAGGATGACATACAGTCCTATTGGAAGTGACTCTCGCACCTTGCCAGGCAACAATTTCCAAAAAACGAAAAGGACGTAATCTTGCGGATCTTTTTTTGCTCTAAAAACACAAACACGATGGACGAAGGCACTGCCAACGAGACCATCCCAGATCTGAAAGACATAGAGGTGAAAATCGGACGGAAGACTCCCGAGGGTTTGCTCAGGTGGATGCGGGAAGAGGCGTCCTCTGTCCGGGGAGACGCCAAGCTGACCACCGCGCACGACACCGGTCAAGAGTCGGGAAAGAAGAGTTTGGATGAAAAGATTAGGAAATTGAAAATGGAGATGGTAAGAGTGCTGTTGTCGACTGTGTGTGTGTGTGTGTGTGTGTGTGTTTACGCGTGCGCGTGTGTACGTGCACGCGCTTGAGTGGTGACAGGCTGTTGAACGTCTGGCAGACTCTTGTTTTCCAGGATGTGGCATTCCTTCTTCTTTTATACAGTCTATGGTGTCATTTAATGGAGCCACCACCGTATTAGCGTATGATAATGATTTAGAATTCGAGCCAGCCTCTGCTTCACTGGACTGTTGTTGTGAATATTAAACATTTATCTGCAGATCAGCTTGACGGTACTAAAAACAAAACAAAACACCAAGAGGAATAATTTGAATAAGAAATTGCTGTGAAGAATTGTAGTTTTGTATTTATTTTTTTACATAAAACATAAAGGGAAACATTTTTTAGTTCAAAAATCATCATGTCAGTGCTCTCTGGTGGACAATGGTGACACTGCTTCTACTGTTAATTACCTTAAACCTAGTTTGTCATTTTCGTACTGCAATTTCTTCTTCATCAGCCGAGCTATCAATACTCAATACATCTTTAATAAGCTAATATCGGCTTGAGTGATTTATCGGTGTAACTCCAATTGTAGCTCCCGGTAAATTCTAAAACAATATTTTTGTTAAATGTCTAGAAAGGTGTCCTTTCGGGAGCAGTGGAACAAAGAGGCATATCATTTAAAATGTCTCCCTTGGCTCTGCCTCCTGTGGCATTTTAAGAAATCCACTTATTCACTTTTCTGCCAAGAGTCAGATGAGAAGATCGATACCACTGAAAGCCTATCGCCGACTCTTGGCAAGAAAGTAATCCATTGGGTTACTGTATGAAATGCATCAGCGATATTTGTCCTTTGAAGGCTCTTCATACTCAGTCAGCAATTCAAGCTTCTCCTCACCGTGCCAACAGCTGCAGATGGCTGTGGTTGCTAGCAAATGAGTTGACCACATGCAATGAATTCCTTGTCTATCTATTGTAAGAAGGTTAACGTGTACTTTTTCTTTGACACCACTTTGTTTCTACAGAACTGGGACTTAGCTTTGGTGTGACATGTTGGTACATTATCCCCCTGAAATATATTTTAGTTTCATTCATTTGAAATGGGATTAACTGACTTTGTTTTTTGACATATTTAATAATCATTACATGTAGAAGGTTACGAACTGCAATCAAACTTTTTTCTTCGGACACATCCTCCTCCAAACAGTGGAGGTCTGTAATAACGCACCACTCTACTGTTGTTTTTACCCCATTGTGTGATCATGTCCCTCTGTGTGTGCTGTAATCAGAGATTCTCTGTGCTTTGTTAACGTAACATCCCGCTGGCTAGCTCAGGGCCGTCCGCCACTGTTTCAGCTGATAGCACTGTCTTGACCGACGGCGTCATAGCCTCCGGTTCCCCCTCTGGTAACACAAATGCACTGTTAGGCCTGTCAGCACTTTTGCTGTTGTTTTTACTGTAGCGCTGTTAGCAGCACCGTTAGCTGCGAAACGCCGGCTCAGCCTTCGCCATGGTTGAGAGCCGCTGAGAGGCAATCAAAATGCTCAAAATGCTCCCAATTTCATATAGCACGAAACCAGCATGTACAAATTAGGATACTGCATGTCACATTTATGCATCATATAATATTATCGTTGAAGAGAAATTGAGAAACTTTTGTAACCTCCAGACACCAAAGTTCCCAGTTTGGAGTCACAAAGCGTCCAGAGAGTTCCTATAAATCTGTCGAGAGTAGACTGTCAGACTGATTTGTTCACAGTTTTAGCCATTAATCCAGTCTGCTGCAGGGAGGACTGGGAGAGAAGTGATAAAGAGCCTCTTCCTAACTGGAGGGGAGGGTAACTTTCAGCACAGAGCAGGACCACTTCTTTCTCTCTCTCTGTGTGTGTGTGTGTGTGTGTGCATGCACACACCCGTGCATGCTTAATCTTGATGTGCGTGTTATTTCTCAATTTTCTTTCTGACTGTGAACACTTTCTTTCATACTGATTATAATCTTATAAGGCCCCCACACACACACACACACACACACGCACACACACACACACACACACACACACACACACATACACACACGTTAAGTAGTAGGCTATATCCGCTTCTTTTTCTCACTTTTTGTGTATTTGTGAGTGGCTCTGTGTTTCACAGTCATCTGTTACTCTCCTGTATCTGTAGCATGGTGATGGTGGGCAGCAGCATCTGTCTGCTGTAAGATCAAGGATGTGTGTGTATCTGAGTGTGTGTGTGTGTGTGTGTGTGTGTGTGTGTGTGTGTGTGTGTGGGCCATGGTGTCAGTGTCACCACCAGTAATTAAATGCGGCTCTGCTTCTTGTTAACTGTCAGTGTAATCTTTATAACATATGGCCGACTGAAACAAACACACTGTCTTTAACTTTTATGAAAACTTTACACAACAAAGACACATTCACTAGCCAGAGTTACTATTTGTATGACAAATAAGGCAATTGCTGTACAATCTCTCTTTCTCTGCATGTCTAGCTTACATAAAAAGACGGTCTGTCATGAAACCTAATATTTTCATTTCATTTCATAGTTTAGTCTATATAATGTCAGAAAATAAATGCTTATTTTGTTTGACCAACTGTCCAAAATCTAAAAGGTATTACATTTATACTTGATGTTGAACAAAGAAAGCTACAAATCCTCATGTTTCAGAAGCTGGGACCAGATGATGTATAGTGGCATTTATGCTTCAGAGATGGCTGAAACATTTAATTAATTATCAGAAATAATGCTGACTAGATTTCTGTCACTCCACTAATTGATTCATGAACTAACGTTCTGGCGCTTTGACCATTGTTCTAATGTCAGAGAAAGAACAGGTCAAATATAGAGACGTATGGAGAGCGTACTTCATTAGTGAAAAGGCTTTTGGTCTGATACTCTCAGCTGTCTGATATCTGGCTTGAGGCTGTCTGCTGACGTCAAGCATTTTACAGCACTGTGAGCTGAAGTCAAATAAATGTTGTTGTTAATGATTTTAGTGTTCCTGTATACGTCTGTGTGGGAGCAGTTTTACAGCTTCTGTCTTGTGCATTCGTCTGCAGCTGTCTAATGGAAGACACGCTCTCCTCTGATCTAAACAGATTTACTGGATACAGAGACACTCCTTTAAAACCAGACAAGATTGGCTGCCAGCCACACACACACACACACACACACACACACACACACACACACACACAC